TCTTCTCTGTTAGGAAAGGATTGATAAGTATTTGTTAAATTAATCAGATGACAGTGAGAAGTGGTACTGGGTAAGGAGAGTCAATATGACAAGGATGAAAAAACCAAAGGAGGTTCAGAGAAGCCAGATTTTAAGAAAGCCCTGATTTACTGTCCATAATTATTTCTTTACTTGAAAACCCAGGCATAAAAGTCTATTTATCAGCCTGCTGTACAGGCATGCCTGGTGGTTTAGGTGGTAAAGAACCTGCCTGCCAAGCTGGAGACGCAAAAAGACATGAGTCCAGTCCCTGGGTTGGGAAGATCCTCTGGAGAAGGAAAAGGCAACCCACTCCAGTATTCATACCCGGAAAATTCCATGGGCAAAGGACCCTGGCAGGCTACAGTCCATGGGGTCGCAAAGAGTTGAACATGACCGAGCATGCACGCGCTATACTATGTTATATCGGCCTGCTGTGAACACTTAACAGCTTGCCCTAAGAGAGTGCTACTGAAGGCCAATCAAGGTTTTTCTCTGTCCACTTAGAGTCTAAACAGCTGCCCAGGTTTAATTAATATCCCACAATTATATCTGGAGAGTAGCCAGTTTCTGAAATGTCTAAGTGAGAGGAGGATTTTTAACTCTCCTCTTGCGTCAGCTGGATCTGATAGCATAGATGTCAACTTCTCGGGTGAATTTGAACTGTTCTTTTTCAGAGTCCACTCAGCCTGCGGTCTCTGCATAACCGTTCAATTGTCCCTTCATCTGCTGCCATCACATTTTGCAAGGGAGTCCTAGGTTTGGTCCTGTGAAGTCTGGACTTCAGGTTTTTCAGCACTGTCAATTTATTGCTGAGAATCTCCTGCAGAGCGATGAGGAACACAGTGCTGTTTGTTAGGGTATAAAAAAGGCACAACTCATTTAAGCCGATCATCAAGTAATGACAACAAGGATTAAAGTGGGGGCTTACTCTTTGATCCACCAGGAGTTTCAAATGGCAATTATCATTAATTCTTGGATTCCCTCAGTCCTGATAGAAAATCAAGGCAACCAGAAACTATCATTTTGTAAACAGACAGCTATTAAAAGCACATTAATAATCTATAGTGGGTATAGCATATGCCTTTTAAAAAGATTTGCAGCCTGTTTCTCTGCGGTGAAGATGGAGGACTTCTCCAACCTAATTACAAAGCAATCAAACAATTTAATTAATCTGGAAATCACTTTCTTAACAATAACTGCCTCCAAAATGAGGCACCCTGTGTAGCTCCGTTAGGTAAGTACTGTTTTGATGTAGTGCCTGTGCGTTCGCCACGCCAGTTCCCCCTGGGAATCACGGAGTTAATTACCTCTCCAGCGCCTGCCCACCCACCACTAAGGTTTCCTTCACCAGGTCAGAAGCAGCAGTCTATAAAGTGTCCTGGCACTCAAACATCCAAGAGCCAGCAAATCCCTTCGAACGGCAGGGTTTGGGTTATAAGCAAGTGCTGCACATATGGGCAGAGAATTAACTGGCACTGATTTTCATTCGAGAGCCTCTCAGGTATTGCTTTGCAGATGGGTGGATGATTTCAGAGAGCAGGACTGTGCGTGGTGAAGGTCAAGTGTAGGACTCTAGTTTCACTCCATCTTGTTTTCTTGTCTTGGGAAAGTGCTAAGTGCCCACAGCAGTCTGGTCCTCACCTCCAAGTGAAGAATGTATAAAGTGCGCTTTATATTTCAATCTGTTCTATATTAATGTTGTTGTGTATCCAGAACAGTGTCCCTAAGTCTTCAAACATAACACACAAATCAATGTTTGTCTCAAAGAAGAACAAAGGCCTCAAAGATTGATTTATGCCTATCTAATCTACTCATCGGAGAAGGCAATGGCACCCCACTCCAGTACTCTTGCCTGGAANTCCCATGGATGGCGGAGCCTGGTAGGCTGCAGTCCATGGTGTCGCAAAGAGTTGGACATGACTGAGCGACTTCACTTTCACTTTTCACTTTTATGCATTGGAGAAAGAAATGGCAACCCACTCCAGTGTTCTTGCCTGGAGAATCCCAGGGATGGGGTCGCACAGAGTCGGACACGACTGAAGTGACCTAGCAGCAGCAGTCTACTCATCTTGTAATTTCTCCATGAGGAAAATTGAGGAATTTTCTGTAACGAATGACACAAAAAGCTCTAGAATACTCTATCCTTTTCCTCTACTATTACTACCACCCCAGTTCTCTCTGAAAGTTCCCTGTTAGTGGAGCAGTCATCCTCCCAGCCTGCTAACCTTGGAAGTACCAGTTAGTCTGTAATCTTTTGCATCACTTATTTTTGATCCATCACCAGTTACACTTGGTTTGCTCACCAGAACATGCGTTCTGTTGGCTTTCCGCATCCTAATCCAGCTCCTTCTCCTTGGCGACTCCCCTGTCCACTCAACATTCTCACACCAGGTTAAAATATCGAGTGCCTCTCTTGCGTTCAAATTTCTCTTAAGCCTTCCACTAGGTAGTACCAAAACATGTTGTTCACAACTCATTGACTTGACCAGTCTGAATTCCCTGGTACTAGAGAGTCTGTCTCTCTACTGCATCACCTAACTGTGTTTGGATTGATTCTGTCCCCTTCCTGAAGTCCTTCCATCCCCTCTCCTATCCTGAGCTTGCTGATTTGCCCTCAAGTTAAGCTGCAGTCTCTTGTCCTTAAGGAATGACCAAGTATTCTAGTTCACACTGCCTTCGTTTTCTCCAACAGCCCACTGTATTTAAGGGCCTTTGTGATAACGTGGGATGTGTGTATTTCTATCTCAACTAGCTCCTCAATGTGACCAGAAACAAGAAGAAAGATCTGTGATTAGTAGGATAGTACAAATGGCTATATAACTTAGAGTTGAGGAATCTTTTCAGTGTATGGGCCTGGAAAGACCACACAGAATGAGAAGGCAAAACCCAAGATAAGAAATGGTTAAGGATAGCGCTGATTTTTTGTCTTGTTTTTTTTAAAGAGCAGAGTTAAATTAAGCTACCTCTATATCTCTGTCTCTGCCCATTCATCTTCAGTGTGATGGGCCGCCATGTATTATAAGATGTTACATGGTTTCCTGGGGGGCCACTTGTTAAAATCTCTAAAAGTGAAAAGGTTCTTAAGATAATTCCTGTTTCTGCCTCCTTCAGATTCTTCAAAATATTTAATAAACTCCCTCTACTTGTTCTGGTTGATCTCATATAATCTCCAGATATAATGTTCTCTTTACAAAGAACACAGGGATAAGAATTTGGTGCCAAGTTTTATTGGCCTTATTATTTATTCTCAGTGGTTAGAGTAGTAGGGATTGTTCTCAAAATGCCTTGGCTTCAATCAACTGTTTGTTTCTCATAAGTTACTGATAGTTTGCTCTGTGGGGGGTGTGAGCAAAGCAAATTTTTTTTTTCCCCAAATAAAATTAAAATCAACCCAGAGATTTCTGGCATTTCACCTGTTTCCCTTTAGAAACAAGATTTCTAGCCATCTTGAAATCAAGACCTTTTAAGAAATATGAAGAGCAATGCACAAACTAACAGGGGAGGGAGTGGGGGAATGAAGGCTGTTGGGAGAAGTTCAAAGAACTTAATTTAGCTGTGTAGATAAAGGACAGAAAGGGTCCTGGATTACCGGATGGCAAAAGCGCAATCCGTTTCTCTAGAGGCCCAAGAAACAACAGATGCAAAGGCATGATAAATTTCATTGCAGCAGGGGGAAAATGCTTCTTGATTCTCTATCCATAAAGAAAGGGGCTTTTCAGCACTTCCCAGATAAATGGCTTTAATTGTGCTGTCTGTCATAAACTTAATGGCATCTGTTGATGCCATCACTGCAAAATCTGCAACTTTAAGTTAACTGAAAAATTTCAGTAGAGGCACAGCCAGTCCAGAAGTAAAGGTAACACTGAACTTGTCCCCTTCAATGTGTCAATCAGTCCTTTTTGCACACAGGTAGTAAATTGTTTACCTTTGTGGCTAGGTGCCATTCTGTGTCCCTTCCACCTAATTACAGATTGTCACTTCTGGTGTGAGATCAGCAACGTGGCACACTGGCTTCTTGTTAAGATTAAACGTGTCTTGAATTATTTTCTGTGTTTCAAGAACACGCAGCATTTGTTTGCAGCCTTTCCTAACCTCCTACAGTCCCATCCGGTCCTCAGGCCATTCTGCCAACCTAATGAACCCTGCAGAGGGAAGCGGGGTGGTCTGGCCAGCCTGGGGCCTCCCCTCACCCGCTGCCTGCCAAGCTTGCCCCATGATCAGCAACAGGTTGCATGTTCTGATGGGGAAAGTAGCAAGCCTCCAGACGAGCTGTCACCGTACAGAAGCATCCATGTTCCACCCACCATGTAAGAACTTGGGGAAGACGCCTTCTGTGAGGCGCTGTGTGGCTGGCTTTTCAGGCAGCCTGGCCAGTCACCCCCTCAGCTGCCTAGGAGCAGAGGGACTATTGAAGAAGATACTTCTGGGCCTCTAGGCTGGGTCATTTGAGGTCTGAACTGCTGGGATTCTACCTAGTATTTTATGCCCTGTTCTGACATTTCTGCCTTTAAAATGTGTGCTTTGAAGAATGAGGATTTATTGAGAACTCAGACTTTTATTCTGTTTCGGTAAATAAAAATACTAAGGCTGCCTTCCTAAAATGGAAAGCCTCACCCTCCCAGTTGAAGCTTATCTTCTCTATCCTACTGTGGAAATGTTAACATCTGGAAAAGCAGGAATCAAGACATATGTATGTATTCATTATTCTGTGGGACTGAAATATATTATGAAATATATGAAAGTCTGCTGGTTGGTGACATGGGTTTGTTTATTCATATATTACACCCTTGGAAAGTTGTGCTGGAACTCAAGCCAATCCCTTCCTCTGCTCCAAATAAAACTAAAGCACTTTTTGAGGAGATGGACATTTTACAAAGATGTACAGAAGCTTACTACTAAAGAGAAGAGCGTTCTGGATGTAGCTAATGATACAAGAATAAAATCTTAATGTCATTTTTTTTCCTTCTTTCTCTCTACAGGAAATAGCCCTCAAGATAGTCCAAGAAATTTCTCCCCCAGTGCCTCTGCCCATTTTTCATTTGCACGGAGGTAAGAACTTTTTTTGTGTAGAATGATAAAGTGTTATGTGGAGAAACCTTCCCTTCTGCCCCAGTTCCTCCACTACCCGCTAGAGTTATAGATGCCTCCTTTGCTCCTTCCCTAGATGGTGGGCTCCCACTAAGGGCAGAAAAAAAAAAAACATTTTCACCTTTTCTCCCATCCCTAGTATAGTGTCTCATACATGCTTTTGATGCTCAACAGATTTTTACTGACTTATCTGAGCTTGTATTATAAGGACTTGATTCATCCACGTGTCCTGGTGCAGTTGTCGTTGTTACTGAAATCCTAAAAAATAAATAAATAAATAAAAAGGACCTTCCTTGGGATCACAAGGTATAAACCGTTAAGATGCCTCTTTCCTTGAGAGCACCAAGCCAGCAATTTAGTGACCTCTCTGAGTGTTTTCTCCTCCTTTCTTAGTTAGAATTGGACATCAAGTATCAAGTCTGGGTCGGTGAGTCGCGAGAAAGTATGGTTGCTCGGAGGATAGCGGGCATACGATCTGTTACCAAAGCTTTTATTTTGGGATCACCTACTGTGATCTCTCCCAGTCAGAGATGTCTGCACTTCTGTGTGTGAAATTAGTGGGCTTCCCCTGTCACATTCAAACCTTCACTTTCCTCCATTCCTCTTCCAGCCAGGGAAAACACACAGAAGACAAAATTGCCCCTTTTAGCCAGGTTTCCGAATATTCAGAATGAATTGCTTTTCTGGTCCGAATGCCCTGCATATTTATTAAATTTTCTTCAGAGAGCTAATCATACCTTGAAATGAATTAAAGTAACATTTAATTAAGACATACAGGTAGGTTAAAAAAGTAGATTTGACACATTATGTGCAAACCTGCAGTGTCATAATTGCCATTTGTCATCGTGAAATGTGTTTTGTTACTAGGTCCAGAGGAAAGGATCTGCTTACAGTATATTCTTAATTCCTGATCATTAAGATTCTCTTGTCAAATCACACATTCCCCACCATATGATAAATGCCTATGTGTACCAGGCCTTCCCCATAGGGAGGACAAAAAGTAATTGAGATGTGATCTCCAAGGAACTTTCTGAGACCCACACCCTGGTTTTCCCCAACGAACACCAACTTTGATTCTTTTAGTCCTCTTACAGCCTGTAAGCACTGTAAAGAAAATGTGACAGTTAATTGGTTCCACAAAGCCTGTGTTTGTTTGTCCACTGAATATTAATTCACGATGGTGCTACTATTCTAAATGAAAAGGGAAATCCTATAAAAATGGGTTTAAAAAAGAACACAGCATAGTCCTTAAAATATGTTTCTTTGAAAAAAAAAGGGGGGGTGGTGGTGGAATGTATTTAAATTACTTCAAGTAAAAAGAAAATGCCCATCTCATAGCCTGTTTTTAAATGTGACCGAAATCAGTCTTTTAATCCTGCCAGATTTATTAAAATAAAGAGAACCTAATAATTAAGTGGCTGACTAGAGGACAGATGACTCTGGTTTCTGTGCTATATATAAAAAAAAAAAAAATACACAAACCCCCAGGCATGTTAATTTTTGACAAATAAGCCATAAACCGTAACAGAAAATTATCACAGGAGACCTCTGGTTCATTTTGCAGGAATTTCCAGATGGAACTCACTACACAGTCTTCAAAAAGTATTAATTTAGATTAGGACATGAGTGATCATCTTTTTAAACTTTTATTCAAGTAAACAGAACCTGTGTTTGCTATGAAAACTCAAATTGGCCTATTTTTAACATCTGGCATCTTTCTCTTCCATTTTAAAGTTGATTTTTCATTCAAGAAACATGGAAATTCCACTCGTGGGTCTCCGTTCCCTACCATTTGGTATGCATTTCTGAGACCTTAGGAAGTAATGCCATTTTGGGAGTCCCAAATTTTATTATTTTGTATATTCAGTCCAACAGATGGAAGAGATTGCCCTGTTTTAAAAATTATTCTTGCGTAAAGGGATAAAGGTCAGACTTATTAATCTTTTCTGACCCTACTTATAACATGTGAGAATTTCCCCTCAGTATTCATCTCCTGGTAATGTACTAGTTGCAGTTAAGTCTGGGAAGTAAGACAACACACACTTGCTTTCCATACTATCTAATATGTGTCTGAGAGTGAAATTATCAAGTAAATTTTTTTAGTATTGGATTAAAATACTAGGATGAAAATGCCTGTCATAGTGTAGTAGATTTTGTCTGGAACAAGGAATTAATTCACGATGGTGCTACTATTCTAAATGAAAAGGGAAATCCTATAAAAATGGGTTTAAAAAAGAACACAGCATAGTCCTTAAAATATGTTTCTTTGAAAAAAAAAGGGGGGGTGGTGGTGGAATGTATTTAAATTACTTCAAGTAAAAAGAAAATGCCCATCTCATAGCCTGTTTTTAAATGTGACCGAAATCAGTCTTTTAATCCTGCCAGATTTATTAAAATAAAGAGAACCTAATAATTAAGTGGCTGACTAGAGGACAGATGACTCTGGTTTCTGTGCTATATATAAAAAAAAAAAAAATACACAAACCCCCAGGCATGTTAATTTTTGACAAATAAGCCATAAACCGTAACAGAAAATTATCACAGGAGACCTCTGGTTCATTTTGCAGGAATTTCCAGATGGAACTCACTACACAGTCTTCAAAAAGTATTAATTTAGATTAGGACATGAGTGATCATCTTTTTAAACTTTTATTCAAGTAAACAGAACCTGTGTTTGCTATGAAAACTCAAATTGGCCTATTTTTAACATCTGGCATCTTTCTCTTCCATTTTAAAGTTGATTTTTCATTCAAGAAACATGGAAATTCCACTCGTGGGTCTCCGTTCCCTACCATTTGGTATGCATTTCTGAGACCTTAGGAAGTAATGCCATTTTGGGAGTCCCAAATTTTATTATTTTGTATATTCAGTCCAACAGATGGAAGAGATTGCCCTGTTTTAAAAATTATTCTTGCGTAAAGGGATAAAGGTCAGACTTATTAATCTTTTCTGACCCTACTTATAACATGTGAGAATTTCCCCTCAGTATTCATCTCCTGGTAATGTACTAGTTGCAGTTAAGTCTGGGAAGTAAGACAACACACACTTGCTTTCCATACTATCTAATATGTGTCTGAGAGTGAAATTATCAAGTAAATTTTTTTAGTATTGGATTAAAATACTAGGATGAAAATGCCTGTCATAGTGTAGTAGATTTTGTCTGGAACAAGGAAACTTATTTTTATTTTGCTAGTAGCTGTGATTGTTGTTACTCAGTTGCTGTCGTGTCAGACTCTTTGTGACCCCATTGACTGCAGCACACGAAACCAGTAACTGGGATACTGATTTACAATCCACCTGCTTGTGGAGTTATTTAATGTTGTCTTCCTTGGTGGTAAAATGGAAGTGATGACATTGGTCTGCCTTCCCTAGAAGTTGTGTAGATTTTTACATATCATACATTGCTTTCACTTTCATCAGAAATATTAAGAGAGCCCTGAATAAATGCTGGGGATGTCTCCTGGCTGCCTAGTTGTTATTTATCAGGTGAAATATCAGAATGTATTTCCATAGACAAATTACTGGAACAGATTTGCCTACTGAGGTCAAGTCATGAGACGCTTACTGAGCACAGGTGGGCTGAAGTTACTCTGGTTACATTATATTGGCATAGTTCATCTTGTTCCAGTATCAACTAGACCATAAAATGTATCATGCCAGATGAGTACAACAAACAAATCATGAAATCTGCTTCCTCTTTATACAGTCATAATAGCCAGGTTGATACTGGAACTTTTCTTTCTTCCTTTGTCACACACCATCATAATCTAACTTTTTGTGGCTAGTATTGAAATGATGGAGGTTTGGGGGGGAGGGGCAGATTTTCAGCGGGTTGTTTTTGTTTGTTTGCTTTTGTTGTTGTTGTTTTTGCTAGTTACTTTGTAGCCTGTGTTCCCATCAGATGTTTTTCTCCTGTTACTTTTTCATTTAGTATAACATTGAAATTTCCACCCACAAAGGAAACACTCTTTTCAAAAAAAGCCTTGTGGCTTTGGCAAGAATGTAGTTTTGTTTTCAGGTAACATTTTACTGGTAGCTGCTACAAAGAAAAGAGAACGTTATTAGTAGCATCCAAATTGTACTTGTGTGATAGCTTTCTTCAAAAAAGGGCATGCTATCTCTTAGAGCACGTATATAGCGTATATAGGAAGTTCTCATATGCAGTTGTCATGGTAATGAAAATGCAGAGGTCCTTTGTATTCCATTTGAATAAATAGACACAGACAACTTGGGGAACTTTATGAGACATAAATTACTTCTGGTCCATGGCTGTACAAAGTACTAAGCACATTCTTGTTTAAACATCTTTCTAGTCATGTGTTTTCCAAAGTAAGCAAATGTTAATTTATGCTTCAGAACTAATAAGAACATGTCTCCTCTTGGAGTTGTTCATTCATCTGAAATATGTTCATTGATACCTGAGGGAAAGGAGAGTTAATGAATCACAAAGCAGAATCATGGTGGGGGAAATTGTGTCCCTCACTCTTTCCAAAGACTAGTTTCTGATAATTGCTATTAAATGGACTGAAGAATTCTTTGAAAACCATATTCTTTTAAAAATTGGAAGTGTTTAAAATAGTCCAGGAATGGGTTCTTAAGTCTGTAATAATTAGCCAAATAAGCCAGGACCAACCTGTGTCCATTTAATTGATGGTCAGTTGTCTTTGGAAACATGTTATTAGAATTAGTTTCATCTTAAATCTTTTAACATTTTAAATTGTATAAAATTATTTCTAGAGAACTTGTGGCATTTCTTTTCATTTCTTTTATCTGATACATTTACAAGCATCTTAATTTGCTTCTTTTTTTAAAAAAAAAAATACTTGATTCAATTGTACTCCAATCATGGTTACAGAATTGACAGGTAAATTTTACTTAACATTGTACTACTTCTGTGATTTGTCCACTTGAATTTCTCATTTTGTCTTTGTGGACCATTTGCATTTATTGGAGGTAAAAATAACATCCATGGTGGCCTATGATTATATTCTCCCTTGATTATAATTTAGGCTAAGATGTCATTTTTCTACATAAACATGCGATTGTGACATTTCTCAAATTCAAGTCAAATTCTGAGGAATTCCCTGATGTCCCCTTATAGTGAATGTGTGGTCAATTTGGTCTACTCTTATCTCTCACTTGGTAAATTAATATAAATCATGAGTTACAGAAAGGCTACATATGGTCAAAGAATGCAGTATAACTCTTTAGAAAAGTATGTTTTTCCTTTTCTCCCCATGGCAAATATGTGTATATTTGTCTTCACCATGTTATATGATTTTGAAGGCATAGTCCTATTCAAAATTGCTAATAAAATAGTTATTTTATTAACGTTAATAAAATAATCCTACTTTAGCAACAGGATTGTCTTCACTGCTTTGACAGCTCATCTGAGACCCTTGTAATGATCCCAATTAATAACTATAGAGTTCAACCCAGAAGCTATCCATCCTGTTGCCATTTGGAGATAAAAACCATGTTCTATTAAGACTCCTGACAGCTTCACCGCTGTGACTAGCGCAGGTCATTCTACTCTGCATTAGCTTCTATCACTAGTGGAGAATATTCTTTCTTTGCTCCCTGTCACTGGCCAGAGCTGGGCCGCACACTCATAAACTCAGAAAGAGGCATTTGCTGGAACACTTTATAAAGCCAGGTCATGTCAGAAGGTAATAACTCTTAAGAGATTCTGAGCACAAGGTCAGTCACTTTCTTAGTGCTAAAGTTATTTGCCACTTAAGGCTTGAGCCGGCCAGGAGCCCCCTGATCCTCCCTTCCTTTGGTGTGATGAGTAGGATTGTTCTCTTGAAAGTAATAAGCTGAAAGTCTTTAGGATGTGGTGGAAGTCCCCAGAGGCTCTCGTACCATGCTGGCATTCAGGCCCTTCCAAAGATCGTGGCCCCAGTGTTCAGTTTCCACATAGGAGTGTTTTTCCTCCTGCCTTTCTATTTTTATTCATCTGAATCTGCTGAGTCCGACCAATGTAATTATCCCTGGTATTCATTTTGTCAAAGTGTATTAGTGAGAGATCAATAATATGGATCAACCCATTCACTTTCTACTTGTTTGGGTGTATTGATTCAGTTTAAATAAAAGTCAACCTGCTATATAATGTTTGTTTACTCTGGCCCTTGCTGAACATTTCCACACCCTCACTGACTGTGTTTGTGTCATTTGTTCGACGAAGAATACTCGGCTTCCCTGGGGTTCCCATGTAACCCTCCTCCAGTGTGGGCCTAAGCTAATCGCACTTTCTCCCCAGGACTGATGGACGCCGCTGGTCCTTGGCTTCCCTCCCCTCCTCTGGCTATGGGACAAACACTCCCAGCTCTACGGTCTCTGTAAGTGCCCGGTTTTTCTCTTGTACACCCTAGAGCTCTTGCATGGGCAGCCCTTTCTCTGGGTGTTCCCTGATAGGGAGGAGAGGATGAATTCTGTATGTCTGTCCCTCCGAGTAGGCTTCACATCAAATGATGAGCTGACAGACACAAAAAAGACGTACTCTTTGCTGCAAGCTTTTAAATTATGGTGCACAAATTGAGCGATTCCCCAGATCACAAGTTGGGAGGAGACTGGGAGCTTTTGTTTTAATACCATTTGGTGTTTGGGGGTAGGGGAGGGAACACAATCTGGCTTTATTGCTTTGGTTCCATGCCAGTGATATTAGTACTGAAAATGCCATTAAACTTTGATGGCCTGGGTCGTTCTTTTCTTGTATGGCTTAGATGTGGAGTTCTGTTTTGTTTTTTAGTTTTTATCTTTCAAAGAAAAAGAATGGCAAGCCTTAAATTTGTACCTTCTGGATAAAAACTTTCTTTTAAGGAGAGATTAAAAGAACTTAGCAGTAAGTTAAGATCAATACAGAGACAAGATGAAGCCATGGAAATAGGATAGAGGAAGAACACTGTTGCCGCAAACTACAACATTTCAACAAGAGCCCTATCAATTACTGAAAGTGATTCAGTGGCTTAGATACATGCCTTCTCCATTTAAATTAGTGATGTTGTGGGATATTTGTCTCTACAGAGCTTTATTTTTTTACTTTACTTTTTTTTATTGAAGTATAGTTGATTTACAATATTGTGTTAATTTCTTCTGTGTGGCAAAGTGATTCAGTTATACACATACACATATAAGCATTCTTTATTATATTCTTTTCCATTATGATTTATTCCAGGGTACTGAATACAGTTCCCTGTGCTATACAGTAGGACCTTGTTGTTTATCCATTCTTTATATAATAGTTTGCATCTGCTAAACCCCAGACTCCCTATCCATCCCTTCCCTGCCTCCCTCCCCTTCTACAGAGCTTCTACAGAGATTTAGAAGCTGGTGGTCATTTAGAAGGACCTAGGATATGGTGTAGGTCAATCAATAAATACGTAATGGAGCAGTCTGAAAGCTCCTGTACAAGCCAGGACTGTGAACCTGGTTTTAGAGCCGCTTCTGAGCCATTCCCGTCTCCATTTTGTCAAAATCTGTGGTTTATCGCAAAGGGATATCTATCTCCCCCCACCCCTCCCATAAACCCCAGCACTGTGCTAAGCATATAGGTTCACACTTAATGTCAGTGAATTGAAAAGAAACTGTGATTAAATGTATAAACTTTAATTGATATCACCAGTGCCTTATATTTTATAGTTCCAGAGTTCCAGATGCAATGTAACATGGGTTTTCTAGAGCAAAACACTGGCCTGTTAAAATCTGTTGGATTATTTTTACCATCTTCTTATAACATTTTATTGAGGAGCAATAATTTATTTTCTTGTCCACTATTCCATTGGGTTGTGGTATGTGAGTTTATTGTCCATTTAGATCATTTTTGTGAAACATCCTGACAATCCTGAATAGTTTCAGTGGCACTTTAGTCTCACATCCAGAAAAGGATATTCAAAACTCTTGAATGGCTTCAGTGGATAGAATTGTCACTAAAGAATGGTAAACAAAGTCACCCTTGTTTTTTGTCAGTAAGCATCATTGTTTATTATTAGCCCATGTTTTAGATCTTGAAAGCATTGGCTACCACAGTGTGAAAATGATTGCTGAAACTGATTGACCAGAAAGCAAAAAAGAATAAGGCTTTTAAGTGGAATTCTTCCCTAGACTTGTGAGCATCTCCAGTTAGAATCCAACCACCAGTAAACAGAGTACTTGTCCCATTCTCATACATACTCTCATTGAATCCTCCCCATGCCCAAAATTTATATCTTCTTTCTTGACTTCAAATCCTTTTTATTTTAACTATATCACCTTGCTTTGTCCTGCAGTCAAGTCTTATTATAGTTTGGATATAGAAGTTTCTCTTTGGCAAGAAAAACAGGGGAGGATGCAGGATCTTCTTTCTGTCTCTAGCTAGGAGATCATATGTCATTTTTAAAAGTGAATCTAAAAGCAAGGGTGGGCTACGTAGAAGTGGACCCCATTTGGTACAAAGTACTTTAGAAACATCTTTATAAACACATTTTATGTGCTAGGTACTAGTCTCACTACTTACAATGCACTGGCTTATTGTAAATGAAAAATTTGAAAAAAAATGAAAAAAATATAAATTGTAAAATTTAATTGACTTGTTTAATTGTCTCATTTGTTTGTAAAAACATACTTTATAATGAAGTTGCCATTGTTTTCGTCATTTTATGGCTCGAGGCTCTGAGGCACAGAGAATGAACGGAGGGGCTGTTTACTAACCCCTGTGTGTAGCAACAAGAATACAGTAAGTTTCTCAACCCCGGGCACTTGACTTTTTAAAAAAGGAATTCACAAGGTATTGCTTAAACCAAACTTGATAATTAATAAAGCTGACCTGACCATCTGTCGTGATGTCATTGCTGTCCCTGACTTACGTATATGCCTGAAGAGGAAGCTTTCTGAGACAGGTTTTAGTCACACACAGGTGTTACGTGTTTCTCACAGCTGCTACCCAGAGGTAAGGCAGCTTTTCTCTTAGGTGTTTATTTTATTGGAGAAGGTGGTATCATATAATTGTGGATCTCATATTCCTCTCTTCCCCTTCAAAATCAAATTGTAACTTTCAAAATGACTGTCTTTACCAAAAGACATAAGGAACTGTTAGATTTTTGGAATGTAGGTGCTCTAACAAGTTCAGTTATTTTTTTCTCCTTATTGGCTATTGATAAAATGATCATTGAAAATTTGAAATGCTGCTTCTCATTTTCCTCAGCTTCTTTATCTTCTTGCCCTTTAAGTGTTAGGACAAAAAATTATGCAAAGCTGCTCAGGAGTTGCATTTTTTTCTTTTCTAAGTCTAACCTGAATCACTTTTACAGTCTCATTTTCTGGGTTAACTGGTTGTGATTAAGTTAATTAGAAATGATTTTGGTTATTTTTTTAATAAAAATACAGAATATATACAGATAAAATCGCAAACACTTTGAAAATACAGCTTAAGTTTTACCGACATTTGTTGTTAGCTGAGTTCCAGAGTTGCTAATGCTGAAATATAAATACCACATTCTTTGGGTATTATAGAAACTGCAAAATTCCCAAGGGTTAAAATGCTTCATTCTGAAATTGAAAAGATTTGGTCATATGAAGTTAATCAGTTCTTCCTCAGAATATTTAGTATTGCTGCTTCTCTTAATTTCAAGTTTTGTAGTTAAAATTAATTTGAGAAACTTTTCCAAGGTAATATTCAGATTATAATTTTTAATTTTAAGATAAATAATATGGAATTATAGCAGTCAGAAGATATCTCCCATATATTTCTTACAGATAAATTATTTTCTGGGGGAAAGAGTAAAAATAAGAATATAAATACTTATAAATATGAAGTCTGACTATAAAATAACATTACTTTGAGTGGAAAACTGTACATACATATGAATACTGTCCTTTACAAAATGCTTGTCTTGGGAAACTAGTTTATTTGAATGATACCATTACTCATAACATCTGGGGGAAACTCTTCTAAGTGCCTTGAGAACTAGAAGCACAGTTCTTTTTGTAAACCTTCACTCTTTGAAAGTGGATTTGATTTATGATGTAGTCAGAAGTTATATATGCCAACTAGTTGGGTGATGAGACTTACTGGCACCACATTTAGAGAGCATGCTAGAAACATAAAGTCATGGGTCTTAATTTATTGAGGAATTCCAAACTAATTCTTGAAACTCTAGTAAATACTGTTCCAAGGATGTACTGACCAGCAGAGGTATCTTTTCAGTGAGCTTGTGAGGTCCTAGGGACAGCGCCTGCAGCCTGTCACTAGTTCTCCGAGTCCCTGATCTTTGCTGGAGCGGACTCCCGGGCTGACCCTCTGGTGTCCATTACTGACTCACTCTGGGGGGCCCTGTTTGATACCTTTGAGTTCCCAGGCTGTTTGGAGAGCCTCCAGTTGCTTCCTGTTCCATAAACTCATCCGGTGTCACTGGGATAGTGTCACCCTTTTCCCATTGACACCTTGTCTGTCCCAACTGAGAGGAGAGATGCTGTCTCCCCAGAGAAGCCCTTTGCCTCTCACTTCTCTAATACTTTTCCCACCTCATCCTTCCTTCTAACATATCCCCATCAGGAAGCCCCGGGCACATTGTTGTGGAGTTCAGTCACATGGTTATGTATATGGTATAACCACAAAATTTTCCTGTTGGAGTTAGCACCTGTGACCATTTTCTTACATTTGCTGCAGCTATTTTTGACATAAACTTTTATTTTGATAAATAAATAAAATATTAAAGTAGAAATAAAGCCCCTCCTGCACAGTCGTTTTCTCTTCCCCCCTCCTCAGAGGGAATCACTCTCTAAAGTCACTTGTGTCCTCATGCAAACGCTGGTTCATAATGCCCTATGTGAAACTCTTAAGTCTGGTGTGGTTCTGGAATTAATGTTCACATTTTACAAAGTTAACATGATCCTCCCTGTACTGTACACAACAGCCCAGCAACTCAGAATCAGATACATTAATATTTCTATGGCAAAGCTGAATTAGCATTCACATCAAGTGGATTAAATGCACATTTTAAATGGCTCTCCATCAGTTCATCTGATGGCTTGCCTCCATAAAGTTATTACTGGGAATTTATGAATAGACATCTGGGCTTTTGGATCTTGGCTACAGGACTGTGCACGTTGATTTACCTTTGAGACATATGTACAAAGTCTTAACTCAGGTTTTCTGTTTGCTGATTTCGTCGTCTTTGCTTTTATGGCTGCGGCTTCTCTCCTGCTGGCATGACTTTTCTTATTCTTTTACTGATTTCTTGAGTTGACTTTGGGTGTTTTGTTTCTTTTTTCATCGTGACAGTATTTAAAACTACTTGTGTTTTATGACTAGAGCTTTGGTTTACCTCAGAAGTCTTTCTAGTAGTGTTCTCATTTTTATAGTTTATAAAATAACCTCATTACATTGTAAAAAGTCCTCTTTATCTTTGTATGTACTTAGGAAGTATTTTATAATTTCAAGGTATAAGGATATTTTAAAGCTTTAGTCTATTAATTTCTAACTACTGCAGTGTAGTGTTGCAGTGTTTATGAAGTATGCTCTTGATGTGGCAGTTTTTTTTAAATAAAAAAAACACCTGCTCGAATGGAATATTCAAATGAGTGGTATCTTTCAAAATATGCTTATTCTACCTGTGTTTCCATTATTCAAACATTTCTCATTTCTTTTGTTAGAATCACTTGAAGAGTTTACCTCTCAATAAAAACGAACAAAAAAGCAATCACATTGTTTAATAATTATATTTCTCAGGTTGATTAAAAGCAGTGTTGTTTAGCCATTCACCTTTTCTACCTTACTTTGCTCTAAGTGCTGAGTGATTTTCAAAGAGCACATCTAGATTCAAGAGATTAAAAAATGCAACACCACTGAAGCTGTCTAAAAAAAAAAAAATAGCATTAAGCCTGAGAACACAGAAAAAATTTCCAATTCCCAGTTTTTAAAACAATGGCATAAGTGAGACAAGTATTTTCTTTTCCCATCCCCTTTTTATCCAGGACTCATATTGATGATAATCACATCAAAGGACAGCATGCTTTGTAAAGACAGATCTCATTACCTTATTACTTTATTTATGATTATACATCATAGAGTTCATTTATGATTATACATCGTAGAATTAATTTTATGTTACTTACCCAAATAGCAAGTGTTAGAAGTGAGGATGTCACACTCAGATGAGAACTAATATGTCATTTATTGCTCCCAAATTCTCACTGCAGTTGTCACTTTCTTGCTCTGGCTTTGACTGGGTCCCATCCGTTTTCAGACCCTGGGTTTTCTTTAGAGAGTAAACTATATTTGAGGAAATTGTAGACAAATGAGATAAAATACGATAGCCATCTAGACCTCTAGAGACCACATCAAGGTATACATTTAGGCACTAACAATGTAATTATAACATGGAAAGGATGCAGTATAAAATTGTTATATAACAAAATTTAGTGCTGTGACCTAATATTCATTTAAAGTATTTCTTTTTGAGATAGTCATTAAACCTCACTTTGGTTTGTTGTAGTCATCCTGTTCCTCCCAGGAGAAGTTGCATCAGTTACCATATCAACCGACACCTGATGAATTACACTTCTTATCAAAACATTTTTGTACCACCGAAAGCATCACCACAGAGAACAGATGCAGGAACACACCCATGCGCCCTCGTTCCCGAAGTTTGAGGTATGTAGATTTTTATTAGTTGGATAACCTCTTTTCAACCATTTCAGGGAAAGACTTTGGGTCCTCTAATTCATGTATGTGTTAATTGGTTTATGAACTACTATAAATGTAGTGTGATTTTTTTTTTGCATCTATGCATGATACAGTAAATTACCACTGAAAGGCCTCTTACTATTTTTCATTTAAATTTTTACAAGTTGATAATTGCTGTGGTAAAAGAAACCATAGTGAACTACAAGGACCACCCAAGAAACTTCTAGTTGGAAATTTCAAGACTATCAAATTATGGTGCTACATCAATTAATATTTTGCAAAGAAGCTTGACTAAAAGGGAAGGGCAGCGTGTTGAGGTTTACATTTGGTCATCAGATTCCTTTTTATGAAAATCCACCCAGGTCTTGGGTTTTTCCTTCTCATCACAAGTCTTAGTTTCTCCAGGATTATGAGTGGGCCATTAGGAGCTTGTGTCCCTTGTATTTTGTCAATGCCAAATGTAGTCCATTTGACATTGAGTAGGGCTGGTTTTATTTTGGCCTTGTCTCACAAAAAAATAGACATCACTGTTTGGTTCCTCTGAGAGTGACTCTGACAGAGAGATGACGATGTTTATTAAGGAGTGCTTGGGAATTACACCTGCCCGGGTGAAGGAGTGGGTAGTGGGCTTGAGCAGAAGAGGAGTCCAGCCGCTATGCAGGCCCGGCAGCCACAACCACCCCTGTGGGGAGTTCTGGGGATGAAATGACCCATCAGAGCTGTCCCTCTGGACCAAGTGACCCTTCCTTTCCATCTCCACTCAGTCCTGGGATGTGGTACTCTGGGAAGGACTTGGCCTTGGGTGAGGGGGCTCTGCGTGCATGCCAGGTTGCTTCAGTGGTGTCTGACTCTTTGCAACCCCATGGACTGGTAGCCCACTAGGCTTCTCTGTCCATGGAATTCTCCAGGTAAGAATACTGGAGTGGGTAGCCATTCCCTTCTTTTGGGGACCTTCCCAACCTAGGGATCGAACCTGTCTGCCGCGGCTCCTGCCTTGCAGGTGGATTCTTTACCACGGAGCCTCCGGGGGTGCCTGAGGGGACTCTGCATCTGAGGCCACATCCAAGGGGCCTGACTGCTGAAGGCTGCTACAGCCCCAGCAGCTGGGACAACAGGTCCTTCTCTGCAGGGGGAGCAGGGTAGTCCAAACTGGGCCCTCCAGAATAGGAGATCTCCATGGTATATAGAACTGGCCTGCTTTGATAGGAAGGTTTATTTTAAAACATAGTTTGTCAGGTGTTCAGTTGAACATCAGAGTTTGCTGAGAAGGGTTTTTTTTTTTCTTTTGTCCTTTGTACCTTGTTAGTGCCATATAGTAAACATAGCCATGTGGTGTAATCATGTTAGAGTATTTTGAGATATGGAATAAAATGTTATGAATTCATTTAGAGCCATTGTATTTTACCACATGGGTGCCATTTTTTGTATTACGAAAGGAGTTCACAGGATAGCTAGCGCGAGCAGCTATATCGTCTCAGGAATACATAAAGTCACACTGCAGTTGCCCAACCCTGTTACCACTAGGAAGGAGTGGGAGTCTACAATTGAAATAAAAAAAGCCTCAGAGTTGTGTGCCTCTGTTTCATCCTGCACGAGGTGCCTACCCCAGCATCCCAATCCCAGCTAGAAAATGGATTTCGGTGGTGACACCTGTGCTGTGGGAAACTCTTAAATCTCTTCAGTGGCACGTGGCAGAGAGCAGATGTATGGTAAAAGTGTGAAATTGACACTGCAGCGTGCCCTGGACATTGCTGTTTGTACTCTTTTATATCCCAGTTCATTCACTGGTTTCTGGAACCACACAAGTACATGCTACATACAAAATGTAACTGCAATTTAAGAATGTTTTATGAACTTTTATATTGTACCTATACTTAATTTTCAGCATTCTACTTCTGGGGCTTTCTTTTTGAATCATATTCAGGGTTTCTCTGTGTTTGTGAGTATGTGTGTGTGTGTGTGTACTCACTAATGACTGATTTTGTAGTTTATTACCTAATATACTTTTCTTACAAAGGCTACATAGTACTTTTGTTGCAACCCATTGTTTATAAATAAAAATCTTATTTTCATTTCATGCTGTGGCAAGTTTAAAAGGGTAATTTGCTTTGCTTGCAGCCCTGGACGTTCTCCCGCCTGCTGTGACCATGAAATAATTATGATGAACCATGTCTACAAAGAAAGGTTCCCAAAGGTAATGAATTGAATTGAAGATGTCTAGCATCTAAACAAATAGGCAACATAGGTTTAGCGTCTGTAAGGTGGTTTTGTCGAGGGAAGTAATGGTCCAGTCCAGTCATGACTCGCATAAAATAGCACTGTAGCCTTCTTTAGAAAGATAAAATCACTAAGCCCTTTTAAAAGCTGCTGAGAATCAGCCACACATTCTGTGGACTGAAATGGCTGTAAAGTAAATCCCGTTGGTTCACCTGCCCACTGTGACGAGTTGGATGTGGGCGTGCTGGGAGATGCTCTGTGAGCATCTGTTTTGAAAGGCCGCTAGACTCTGGGGCTCCTTCTGCCCATTCTGGGCCTGCTGCTTGGTCCAGCAGAGACTGTTCCGCTTCCTCAGAAGCCTGTAAATGGGTGTAAGTCACAAAAGTCTTTTACTTTTCTCACCTAATTTTTGTTTTCTGTGGCTTCCAGTCTCTTTAGCAATTATAAGTCTAATTCTCTTTATTCAGAAGGAAAGTCCAGTTGCAGTGTTGCCCGTTGGACGGGCCAGTAGGCTTTGGACTGAACCAGAGAGCCTTTGGAGACGGGTTGATGCCCGTTGCCATGGCTGCAAAGAGCTGCTCTCTGCCAGTCCCCATCGCCTAGTCTCCATGGCTTTTCCACCAGCGTGTTTCTACGCATTTGGGAGAAACAGTCGCTCCATTCTGTCCCCGTTCCTCCCCTTGTCACCTTTGTAACCCTAGGCAGGAGAGCAAAAGGAAATCCTCAGCTTCATAAATCAGGACTAGAGTACTTATTATTTGTAATGAACCCAACATTGATGTCATTGATTACGGTCGTTTTAGCCATTTATCACATGTCACTTGTTCACCAGGGAAACAGATCCTGACTTTACTAGTTAATACTGGTTAGGATTTTAGAAAGGAACAGGAGGCAGAGAGAATCTCCCAGCATATACAATAAATGCAAGCAAGGAATATTGATTAGGCAATCGGGGATCCTAGAGAATGAAATAAAAATTGGGAAGGAAATTTTAGACTTACGTTGTCAAGGGAATTCCTTTGACCTTTTGCCCAAGATGTAACTTTTTGAGGAAAGGGTATTGATGGTATAAGATGCTTGTTCCTGGTACATTAAAATACAGCCAAGAGAGCAAACTGTTGGCCCACCCTAAGGAACTCTAACTTCAGTTCTGATTTTTGAATAGGTAAAAACAGAGCTGCAAGTATTTGATATTTTCGGCAAATTATCTGAAAGAGCCCAAGATTTGAAATGACAGCACAGCAATTCACAGATACTGAGTTATTTGGAGAAGCTTACATGGACCATTTTACATTTGATAGGGCATAGAAAATAAGTAATTATCACCCTGGGAGATTCAGTTTCTCGTATATACCTCTTTTTCCACTTGGTGAGGCTTCTTCTTCTTCTTTTCAAATAGACTTTATATTTTTAATGCAGTTTTAGATTCATGGCAAAGTTGAACAGAAAGTACAGATTGTTTCCAAATGCTCCCTGACCCCATACATACACAACCCCCTCTTATCAACATCCCCCTACACACACCTCTGGTCCCAGAGTGGTCCATTTGTTATCACTGACAAACCAACACTGACACATTGTAATCACCCCAAGTCCATAGGTTACATTAGGGTTCACTCCTGTATTGTATATTCTTTGGGTTTTGATACATGTATAATGACATATATGTATTTAGCATTTTATAGTATCATGGAGAAGTGAGGCTTCTTTTAAATTTAATTTCTTGAATTCTATTTGATAACTTGTAGAGGTCTCCAAAAATACTAAATAAATGTGATGATTGTACTGTTTACCTATTTGTGTTTCCTTGTATAATGTCTGTGTGTGCATGTCTTCTGTGAACAGGCTACAGCTCAGATGGAAGAGCGCCTAAAAGAAATCATCACCAGCTACTCTCCAGACCATGTCCTCCCCCTTGCAGATGGAGTGCTCAGCTTCACTCACCATCAGATTATTGAACTGGCTCGCGATTGTTTGGATAAATCCCACCAGGGTCTCATCACCTCACGATACTTCCTTGAATTACAGCACAAATTAGATAAGTTGCTACAGGAGGTATGGATCTTATAAAGTTTTTTGATTTGTTTTGCTTTTACCCTGAAAAAAGACAAATTTTATGAGTGCATTTGCTTAACAAGTTTCAACTATGAGATGGAGTTCGTATTACACAGAAGCAAAGAAGAAGAAAAAAATTGGTTGCTACTTGCTATAAATTGATTCAGGTCAACATTTAGAGCAATAGAAAGTTAATGTAATAACCTTTACAGGAACCTTGGGACCCAGCAATCTATGGCTGTTGGATAAGTGGATTGTGAAAGATTCTGAAGCAGTGATTTTTTTCCCTCCCCTCCTTAACCATAAAGTTAAAAATTGCCTGAATGTACATGCATTATTTGATGATGCTATCTAGTTCTAATATCTGGAAAAGCTAAATGGAAAATTGCTGGCTTCTTTCAGGCCATGTGTCCTGTTAATTAACCTGCACGTGATACTGGGTAGTAAATGGCAACTTACATTTTCATTGGTGTCAGTATTTCTTCTAACAAAATATTCAATTTCTAAAATGACAGATAAACACAGGCCCCTTCCAGGCCTAGCACTTGCAAGCCTAGCTCCTGATAACACCCAACACAGGAAGGGAGTGTGCATGGTGGGATGGAATTAGTGCATAATATTACTGTCCTGATTGAAATTGATCATCCACAGCCTACAAGTAAAACCTATTTAGCCTATGTATTTGGATAGATTGTATTTTTGTATCCCATCGACATACATTATGCCCATGTAAATAAAACCGTAGGTGGTTTTCTCTAAGGATGATTATGTAAATAATTGCATGGAACCGAATGAAAATATTGGCATCCTAGTTTTCTAGGAATCCATCTGTCCTTGCTCATACTGAATTTAGTTGTGGCAAGATGAGATAGTTCTCTCTGACAAGCAGCCACTATTTTTCTTCCCTTTCCCATCTAAACCTCCCAACAGAGTTCTGTGCTCTGTCCCTATTTCTCACATTTCAACCTTTTGTAGCCCACAGAGGCAGTTTTTCCTCAGACTATCTTTGTGTGAACACTATATTCACACAATATATTGTCAGTTTCCAATGTGTCATAGACCAATGCTACCATAAATTACAATAAAAATGTATTTACCTCTGTGAGATATTTTTTCCTTAATTTCTCAGTTCTGTATCAGGATATTATTATAATTACCAGTTAAGTTCTGTGGTTCATTACTTCATAGGCTTTCCCTGTGAAGGTTTGAATCCATAGCTGAAGCTATTTGCATTGAAATACCCCACTTAATTTTGTTTCTATGTGATAGACTTGGTTAGCTGTTTCATGGCAATTAGAAAAAAAATCTTAGAGTTTCAAAAAATCATGTGAATGCACCATATAATAGATTAACTGTTGACTTTTAGAGAAATTTTTCTCTTGGGCAGGGGAATATATATATATGTGTAACATAAAGAGCACCATCAGGATCTATTTATAGTTGCCAGTTGGTTGTCTTTAAACACATTTTATTTTATAATCATTCCCCACTGGTCATTTTCTCTATTTTTTCTTTTAAATGTTAACTGTTTTGTTTTTGCTTGTATATAGTTTCTCTACCTACATTTTGGAAAGTTGCATTTGATTTAATTATTCACCTAACATTTGATATAAGCAGCATACAGCTTCTCCAGTTATATCTGGAAAATCAAGGTTCCTCATCAACTATCCACTCTGCTTGTATCATGTACTTGATATGTCATAAACCTTTAATGTCTCCTTCATTCATGGCTCACATTAAGAGCCCTAATGTTTGATTTTTAACACAGAGAATAAATCAACGTTTTGCAATTAAAATGTAGCTAATGGAGCCATTTGGTAGATCTAGACGTTTAGTAGTGTCCGTTTATGTAGAGATAATGTCTGCTTATCAATCTTTTAAAAGTATTTTCTAAGTCACTTAGTTTTTGAATATTTTCAGTTATCTAATTAGCATGCTTTGCTGATTTTCTTTCCCATTTAATGGAGCAACTCTCTCATCATTCTTTTCATTACTTCCTCATAGGCTCACAATCGTTCAGAAAGTGGAGAGCTGGCATTTATTAAACAACTAGTTCGAAAGATCCTGATTGTTATCGCCCGCCCTGCTCGCTTATTAGAGTGCCTGGTGAGTTGTCCCTCGAAGTGACTTTGTTATTTATTGTTAACTGTGGGAAAGCAGGGACCACCCGAAAGCCCCAGTTATATTTGGCTTCAGAGACAGAGCTAAAAGGAAAGAGTCAAGAAAGAGAAAGTGAAGTCGCTCAGTCGTGTCTGACTCTTTGAGAACCCATGGACTGTAGCCTGCCAGGCTCCTCCTTCCGTGGATTTTCCAGGCAAGAGTACTGGAGTGGGTTGCCACTTCCTTCTCCAGTGGATCTTCCAAACCCAGGGATCAAACCCAGGTCTCCCTCATTGCAGGCACACTGTTTATGGTCTGAGCCCCCAGGGAAGCCCAAGCCTCCAGCTAATAAAAATAAATGAAAAAAATAAAAATAAAAAAAAGAAAGAAAGAGTCAAGAGGAACAGCAACTCATGAATGTTGATGACAACATCTGTGCTTTCCTTCTCTGGTTTTTGGTAAAATTCTAGGACTTGTGTTGTATTGAGAGGTGGTTGTTATCACATTCTGGTCAAACCTAAAAAATTAATCATGAAATAATGCACTTGACTTTATCTCAGCATAATTTCTTTGTTTGGGCTCATTCAAGACATTCACTGTGCCTCACTTTTCTGGAGATGCCAAGATGCAGAGAAAGGGAAATAAGAGCTAGGATAAATGGTAACCTGTGGTTATAACTCTTACTTTTGAAATGTGGCATGTTCGAAATAAGGGCATGTCAGCAGCCCATTTGGAGAATACAGTAGGGCCTTATCCAGACCTCAAGGAATGAGACTTTCCACGATTAGTTTATTGATTATACTTTCTTTAGTCAGTGACCATTTTCCTGTTTGAAAATATTTGCTTTAATTTATGTTGTTTTGATTGAAATGTCAGTCAACACTGTGAACAAAGATGAGGGTTCAAACAAAAAAATAGTTTCATGGGGCTTCAAGTGGTATCAAAACTCACTTTTAAGTTCACAAGCCATTAGAGTATTGATATTTATAACACTGTGTACGATACAGCTTTTCAGAACTTTACATGTACACACACATATACATACTTGGTGATATTATTTTGGTTTTACTCTTATTGTAATTAAGATTTGTGGTTTTTTAATAATAGTGAAATGTTTACAGCCTCATAAACTTATACTAGTGCATAGTGAGATGTGGTAGAGGGTAAGTCTAGAGAAGAAAGGTAGGCGTATGGTGGAGGAAGTCTTTCTATCAATGCAGGGACTCTTAGACTCCTAGACTCAAAAGCACCATTCAGCATTTGAGTGTCTCTGGAAGAATAAAGGGAAAGCAAAATACTCCGGATGCCTCTGGGGCGGAGAACCATGTGACTGCCAGATACCGGCCGAAGGAAGACTGGTTTTTTCCCTGCTCTTTGTGTTGTACCTTTTGAATTATGCACCACAGGCTTGTACTTCCTGCAGTTGTTCAGTTTGGGGGGAAATACCATTTAGCATTGAAATTTGCTTCTCTGGACAGCAGCAGACATGCTGAGAGAGATGTTGCCTTTGAAGAGGAAATGACTTTTTTACAGTAATCAGTCTTAATCAGAAGAGAAGCAGTAAAGGTTCATATAGCCTATCAAAGATAGAAACAAGTGAGCTGCTTTTTGAGCTGTTTAAAGCTCAAGTGAAACTAGAGTTTGGGAATTTTAGGGAATATTTCTCCCAACCATTCATCTTAGGCCTGTAGTTCCATTCTTGCCTTGCCTCTGGTTTTAGGTTTCTGTAAAGGGTACGGAGTGTGGATGTTGGCTTGGCTTTACTCCATTAGTAGCAAGCTTTTTCATTTAGAAGCAACAGCCAGCCAAAGGTAAACTGCTTAAGAGAATGTTACCAAATTTTTACAAAGAGGTAGCTGGAAGTACTAATTTTGTAGCATAATTTTAAAGTTCAATGATAAAAGTGGAAATTTTGAGATTTTTCTTTCTAATATTTTTGGACACCTCTACACTAAAGGAGTTTCGTTCAAAACTTTTCAGAAAAATGCATTCTCATATTACTTCTTCTTAGGTTCTTTGGGCAGAGAGAGAAACTGAATCTCTTTGGAAGAGATTCATGGATTTTTAAAACTTTTCTAAAATGGCACAGTTAAAAATTCAGACCTGTTCATTTTCAGGAGGATAGATAGCTTAAGTGGAGCCTGGTACCTTCAAAGTCACATTACAAGGAAATTGGAAATGGAAATTATCTTTACGTTACCAAGGATTTAATGTCTTAGAATATGATTAGGCTTTGAATATGACCTGAGAATTATATGCTTTTTAAATGAAGTAATCCTTTTGCCTTCTTTCAGTATAAATAACTTACAACCATATGTATCCAGCAATTTCACTGTGAATAGGGTTTATGTAATAAAACGTTAGACAATTTTGGCTCAAAGAAGTATACATCTGTGTTTGTCTTCTGTTAGGAATTTGATCCTGAAGAATTTTACTACCTATTAGAAGCAGCAGAAGGCCATGCCAAAGAAGGACAGGGTATTAAAACTGACATTCCCAGGTACATCATTAGCCAGCTTGGCCTCAATAAAGATCCTCTGGAAGGTGAGTAGTACCTGGTTGGGTTGACCTTTTACCTGCTTATTCATCATGGCCTCATTGAATAACTTAGTGGCAAATCTTTCCTTTTTCTTCTTGTTTTGACCACTATCTGGTGAAAAGGCCAAATCTGGGGGCCAATTGTGACCCAAAGGAAAGAGCCTAAATTGAATTTTGTGTTTACCTACAGTGGGGAGGAGACCTTGAAATCCTGAAGGCTTCTCAGCCTGAAACTTATTTCCAGGAAGGTTTAGATTTCCATCTTCTTGGGGTGTTGTTTCTCCTGGGAAGCGCTACTTGATTCTTCTCAGGGGTGCACATTTTTTACATGTTGGTAAAGAAGTTAACTACATTTAATTTAAAATTTAATTAAAACTACATAAAATTTAAAATTTAATTAAAAAAACATTTCAGTGTAACTGAGGAGTAAGGTAACTGATCACTGGTGATTAACTTTAAGTCAGGTGCAGTCTTCGTAAATCTATTTTTACTTACTTATCTCAGAAAAGTATGAAAAATAGTAATATATATATATTATTGATATATACTGGGGAGCCAGTTGGAGAGAGAAGGCTTTCTAGAACTTAAGCAAGGATTTCTGCTTGATTAAAAAAAAAAAAAAGTCTACTGCTATTAAGTGCAGAGAAGGGGAAGCACCCTGTTAGTGGGTTGTTTTTTGTTTTTTGTTTTTTTCCAAATCTGATATTGGCAAACCACCCCTGTCACCACCTTTTCCTGTTCATTATTGTTTGGGATTGTCATTTAAAACACTTAGGTTATATACTGCCTGAAAAGACTCAAAAACAATCATTGACTCCTTTATTCAAAATCGTCTTCCTGGTTCATTAAATTGAATTTGCAAACCGTGTTTACCTTGCTCAATTGTTTGCGATGATGCTAACTGTTGGCACAGATTTGTTCCCATCGACAGCCAGGGAACCTGCTGCTCTCTGACTGCTCTCCTATTCCCCCCACTTTGCTGCTCTCACGGCCATCAAGTCTTTGCTTCCAGTGAAATGATGCATGCATTACGGGGAGATAATGCCAGATAAATTTATACTGTACTGAAAGCAATACCACAACAGATTCATCACTTATCGGAGACTGGTGGCTGCTTTTCTGAAAAGTTCCCTGGGGAGAGATTTTTCCCCATGGCTTTTAAATTACCATCTTTACCTTTTTGAATCATGAGTCTTCAGAAATGGTTTAAATCAATGAAATAAAAAGGGCAGATGTTTAATGGTATTTAGATGAGTTTTAAAAATCTCTTCAGGCATTACAAAATGATGCCTTAGCTTCCTGCTTCAAAAGCTGACTCTTGGTTCCATTCCATTACTACCCACTGCTTACAAATAATATGTATTTCCCAGATAATAGTTATTTAGCAGCAACTCTATTTAAAACAGTACCATCTTTTAATTTGTTTTTTTATGAAAATAATTGGAGTGGGGGAGGCTGTCAAAGTGTATTATAGTGACTCTTCACGCTGGTAGAGTTAAGGTTGTGTCAGCCCTTGAATTGTAGACCGAGTGAGCTCCTCACAGTTTTCTTACCTGGCAGGAAATATCGCTGTAGACTGAACCTTTGGTAGGGGAATAATCTGAGGCCCATTTATATACCTTTATAGTCTTAAAAAATGTTTAACACTGATTTTTGACAAGTTTCATGTTTTAGTTGTACAAATTTATCACTAAGAGTTGTGTTTTTAACTTTTTAATTTTCTGAATTCAGATCCAAGGATAATTTTTAATCTGTTTGCCATAATCACTTAAAACATGATTATTGCAAACTCTGATCTATGTATATTTGCCTTCTTGTCATCATGGACACTGGCAGACCTAACACTTGACTTTTGAGGGTTCGGAGTCAGGGTTTGGCATGGGACTGCCCAGGGTGTCAGCACTGTAGGTGGGTCACCCTGATCAGACTGATGAGCTTCCTGTGCCTCAATGCTTTCCCTAAAAACTGAATAATGGCACCTCTTCATATGGTTGTTTTAGGATTATATGAGTTCACCTCTGCACCCAAGATGTATAATAATGCTTAATAAGTGTTAGTTACTGTTGCTGTTTTGGGGCTTCCCTGGTGGTTCAGATGGTAAAGAATCTGCCTGCAGTGCAGGAGACCCGGGTTTGATCCCTGGGTCAGAAAGATCCCCTGGAGAAGGGAATGGCTACCCACTCCAGTATTCTTGCCTGGAGAATTCCACAGAGGAGCCTGGCAGCGTACAGTCCATAGGATTGCAAAGAGTCAGACATGACGCACAAATACTTTGAGCCCCTCCAACTGAATACATTATAATTTACCTCCTAGTCACAGTGCTAGCCACAGAGGATGTTGACTCATTTAAATGACACAAAGAAAGCACGCAGTTTTTACTGAGCTCATTTTTAATTCCTGGATTTCCTCTGTAAGTAACCTGGTATAGTGTCAATCTCCAGTTATTTTAATTTCTGTAGTTAATTTTTCTCTAAAGGCAACACTCTAGTGTTGCTTTGCTTCATATCTTTTATGTGTAATCGCTCCCAAGAAAGGATGATTATATTTATAAGAACATGAATCCATGAAATTCTGAGCACATAGGAAGTAATATTAGATACACACAAAAATATGTAACTAAAAACTGTAACTCTTTATTATACTTGTTTGATTTTTAAAAATTAGAAAATTCAAATTATTTGTGATCCTGCCACTTAGAGATAACCCCCTATCAAAGTTTTGGAGAAAATCCTTTCACGTCTTTCACGTTCTTTTTTTAAATTAAACATGTTTTGTTTTTTTCTCTTAAGTATAAAAATCAAAACAAACCATAAAATGAGTTCGGTTTTCTCATTTACTTATGTAGACTCAAGGATGCATTCCAGTATTGGTTGAGCAATTAAATGCTTTGTCTCTTAACGAGACCAGTAGGGTAGAATTTAAACTGGTGTCAAGCATGTGGCATCCAGCCCAGAACTGACTCCTTTACATGGTATAATTAATAGTAATAAATAACAATCAACATTCAATAAGCACTTAATTTTTGTTAGTTAACATGCCAAGAGCTTTACATGCATATCCCTTGTCATACTCATAAAAAACTGAGATAAACAGTATTGTTTCCATCCTACAGAGAAAGAGCCCAAGGTTAAGAACTCACTAGTTAAGTGCTCTTAGTAGGGGTAGCTCAAGTCATCTCAACTCCAAACTCTTCTTAACAGTTACTGTTGCTTCCTTTCTGACAAACTGCGAATTCTCATGGACTAGGAATGCTTGCTCTCACTGCATGTGATGGGATAGAGCAAAGGGTGGCTCATCACAACCTGAGACTCAGTCTCTGAGCTATAGTCAGTGCCTCTCTGATGCCTGTCAGAGCCTAGGAAACTTGCCTCTCCTGAGTATCTGTTTACAGGCATAGTCGTTGAACCCTCCAAACCCCTTCCACGCTGTGGTGATTGTGTCAACCAGTGGGTCCTGCTAGCGTGCACAGATGCCCACCTCCGAGTAGGACTATGTCTAAGTATTCATAGGGAATGCGGTTCTCGGGAAAGGGGCATGTAATGAACAGTTTCAAAATATCAGTTGTTGGTTCTTGCCATTTTGGATTTAAGATTTCCTCATGTGTACCTTGGAGTATAGAGTAAATTTTTCTTTTTTTTTAATATTGAAGAAAATAGTTTTTCTTTAGTTTTATTAGTAGCATAGTACTGCTGTCCAATTGCAATAGTCCTATTTCTCTTAAATCTTGCTTTTTTTTTTTTTTTCAATTTAGAAATGGCTCAGCTGGGAAACTATGATAGTGGGACAGCAGAAACACCAGAAACAGATGAATCAGTGAGTGTAAGTATCTTTCTTGATGAAATATGATGTTGGTTTTTCTGTTTATGAGCATCTGGAGATTTTGGCTGTGTTAATTACTTTATTTGTTCAACACATATTTATTGTGCTTCTGTAGGCGAGGCACTAGGTGTACAACTTTAGCCACTCTCTTTAAAGAGAAACAAATTAATATAAGGAAATCATGCACAAAAAATCAAAATGAGAAACTTGAAGGAGATTGATGAAGAAAAAGGGCCACGTGTTCCTGGAACATAACATAAAAGAGATTTACCTTCATCTTGCCAGTCCAGAAAGATCTCCTAAGGAAGGGATACTTGACATGTGAGGGGTTACTAGGTGAGAAGGGGCAGAGGGAACTTTCCAGGCCAAGGAAACTTCAGGAGACACATGATAGGAGAGTGCTTCTGAGGGCTTTAGAAGGACGGTGACTGTGTAGCCTTTAGCTTCATGTTAAAACTCTCCAGCTCTGGTTAAAACTACACACAGACATCCTTGCTGTTCATCTGTGTCAAATCGTTTCTTTCGAAGAGCAGTGGGAAGCTGTGGTGCTGTGAAGGAAAGGTGTGTGTGTCGCGAGGTGGGGGGCGGCGTGGGGAGGAGTAGATAAGGAGATGACCCTAATAGAGTTACAGCGAGAAGAAAGTCACACTGATCGCAGTGCAGGAAGAAGATGGGTGAGGGGAGCGGGCAGCGGGGGCCCTGGGAAGCCGTCTGAAAGGCTGCAGCGCAGGTGAGAGGGCCTCGAGCTGATGCCATCCTTCCTGTTTGTGATCAGAGGAAGAGGAACCAGGACGGACCACCCCCAAGCGTCAGGGGTGGTGAGGAGAGAGGGGCGGCCGTGTAGCCTGGGGGATGAAACGCCCTGACTCTGGAGCCAGATTGCCAGATTTCAAGCCTGGCTTCACTTCACACTAGCTGTGGGAATCTCTCTATACCTCAGTTTCCTCATCTATAAAGTATATATGAAAAATTAACGGAGCTAGTCTGTGTGAAATGGTTAGGACAGCCTCACATAGTAAATGGTAAATAAAGGCAACTTTTTAATTAGTTTCATTATAACTGCCAGAATGTTGAATGCGCTAAAGCTGAAGTTCCTCTGAGACATCCAAGGAGAGCCATCAAGCAGGCAGTTGTGTATAAGGTGCGGGACCTTCCAGCCCTCAGAGGGATAGTTTCTGGTGGACGGTCTGGGTGGCTTAGGAGGCATTCACGGGAGCAGGTGAGGAAGAATTAGTGAGATAGAGATTGGTTCAGGGTGTTTGCAGCCCGAGCTGTGGAGAGCAGTCAGAGTGGGGTGGCTGAACAAGTAAGTGGTCCCAGCCTTGGATTATGTTTCCTGAGGTAGAGTGCTCGCAGGGGGTGACTAGACCCAGGTCCTGTGGCCAGAGGCCAGGGAGAAGTAGAGAAGGGAGCTGTTTGAGTTGAGGTGGTCAGGTAGGCCCGGACCAGGTTGTTTGGTGAGCTCTCTGTGTAGATACTGAAGTCACCCAGGAAGGTGCGAAGGTCAGTCCAAGTCTTCCAAGGATGGGGGGCAGCGGGTCAGCGGGCGCCATCTCTGAGCCGGGGAGGATTCCTCAGAGTCATGGAGGTTCTTCCAAAATTATGAGGAAGGGATTCTGGTCTCTGCAGAGGAAGCAAAATGACTGTTAACTCCCTCTCAGTGCTAAGATACATGGAGTGTGAGGCAATTTTGTAGAAAAACAAAACACTGTTTATTTTGTGAGCTGAACTTTTAAAGGGGCTGTCTTTTTGAAAATTGGTATCTAAACCATGGTAAGACTTACAATGAATGGAAGTAAAGAAAGACAGGCATGCTCTGCTTGGCCATCCCATTCACTGCCAGCTACCTTCTCCAGATGGGAAAGGTTGCCATAGGAGTGAAATAGAGACGCTCTGGGTCGGGCAGACAAGTCACATGGTCCACTAGCCTGCATAGAGCCACTCTAGTCCATTCTATTCTAATTGACTAAAAGCAGAATTAAGCTTTGGCATTTTGGACTTAAAACTTTAAGATGACTTTAAAGACTTAAAAAACTTTAGAAGACTAGGATGAGGTTCACCCAAATACTTTACAGAGGTAAATTAAAATCAGGAATTCTCAAAACCATGGTGCCTGTATCTCCCAGAAATGAGGTTCACTTCAGTGAATCTGAGCCACTGTTGTGAGGAATAGTCTATCAGCGCTGCTCTGGAAAATTATCTTTAAAGTTGTCCCCCAGGTTCCTTTGGCTGTAATACTGCACTTTAACATTTTAAACAAGAGAGCATGTAATTCAGATATTAATTATTTTGCTGCTAAAATCATTTTCTTAAATTCTGTGCTGTTTTTTTTTTTTTTTTTTAACATCCGTGTTTCGTCTCCAAGAGCTCGAATGCTTCCCTGAAACTTCGAAGGAAACCTCGGGAAAGTGATTTTGAAACGATTAAATTGATCAGCAATGGAGCCTATGGGTGAGTAATTCAAGAAAACTCTATTGTGTTTTAACACACCTAAGAAGGATATTCTTCACATTGATCTTAATGCCAAATAGATATTGTTGGGGACTTTAGTTTTCAGATCACTGCTCCTTCATTTAATGGGTAGAAGGTAAAGCCCAAATCATTTTTCATTGAATACCTCAACAGAAAGTATTTCAAGTGACATGGGTGGGAGTTATTGTAGAGGGTTGGAGAGAAAGACTTTAGAAAACAAAAATTTCTAAAATAAGGGAACATTTTTGCATATGCCTGTTTCTATGTAGATATATAGATATATATATACACATCTGGCTGTATATTTACATATATATATATTTGAATATATATAAATTCCATTTATATCATTTCTTCTTGAGGATTAGCCAGTGTTTCCTGCCTGACCAGCAGTCAGCCTTGGAAGAGAGGAACTTAAATAAGAAGGCTGATTGAAAATATAAAGTAATACAATTCTTTGTCTTTCTGTTACACCAGAATTTTTTTTTTCAATTGGCCTCTATGCTATAGTCTGATTATATTAGTGGTGCCCCTTCCTTGACTCAGTTTTATAGACACCGAGTTTCTTTCTCATGGCTTAAGGTCAATACTGACAAGATCCTTCTTGAGTTACTAATAATTTGGAAGGATAATTCATACACAGACTGTGTCCTGATCCACTTTAGACAGCCCAGAACTCTAGTTTAATTAAGTATTAATCGCAATTCCATCTGTAGGTGGAGGGCAATAAACCATCCTATAGACATTTATTGCCATTTATCACACACATGAGCAGATGAGATAGAAACGATTTTTGTTATGCCACAAGGGATGTTTCTTCTTATGATTTTTTTCACCTCTAATATTTTCCACACCATTAACTTAGTGAAGAACTTAAACATTTGTGAGTCCTTTCTAATGCCTCACTGATTTGTTTTCAGGATTATGTCAAATGGCATATTTCCTGATGTGGCTTGTAAATGCTTTCTGATTTTTTTTTTTGCAATGTTTTATTTTTTTCAAGGACCTCACTGAAACTCTTCTGCCTAAGAAGATCATTTTAGCATGTGGTTGTTTGTGGGTTTTGTTTATATATTGTTGGCTTTTAGTCCTTTTTCGTTCTGGGGATCCTCTGAGGATTTCTTCTTTGATTAGAAAGAAGACTGAACTTTGATTTAAGGAATTTGTGGGTATGAGCACTGCTTGATTTTATTGGAAGTGAAATTCTGGCACAGGATTGTCAGTGAAGCACCACTTTTATAAAATTTGAGCAAATATCTTAGCTGTATATGGAGTTCTAATTGGTTGAGTAAACTCATTTGTAGTGCAATTAAACCACTGTATAGTAGATGAGGTATATCACACTTTGGGGAATGGTTGGGAATATACAAGAAGTTAAACAAGCTGTGAATCCGTAAACACCCAGGACGCAGGCCAAGTCATTAATGGGCTTACAAGCTGCCTGCGGGAGCCTGTGCTGATCAGCCAAAACTTTTTTTTTTCTTTTTTACACTTCAAGTTAATCTCTCACTATGTTTCTGACAGATTTCCTCTAAGATTTAATTATTTTGAACTTAAAGTTTGAATCGAGCCACACCCACTGGCCCACCTGATCAAGATGCTATGGCAGGGTTCTGTGAACTGGCTGAACAGGTGGATCCCTTGTGGGCCATGAATTGAAGCCATTCAAGGCTCTCTTGGGCTTCCCTGTAGCTGAATCCCCTGCTCATATCAGTGATCTGTTCTTTGACTTTTCAAAAACTGGTTATGCTGGAAACTAACCCTTTTCTTAGAAAGAGCTGTAACAGGTCAGGATTTTCTCAACATCCCTGCTTAGTGAGAGTTCATGGCATGAAGGGGCTTCTCTGGTGGTTCAGATGGTAAAGAATCTGCCTGCAGTGCAGGAGACCCTGGGTTCGATCCCTAGGTCAGGAAGATCCCTGGAGAAGAGAGTGGCTACCCATTCCAGTATTTCTGCCTGGAGAATCCGATGGACGGAGGAGCCTGGCGGGCTACGGTCCATGGGGTCGGAAAGAGTCAGACAAGACTGAGTGACTAACACTTTCACTTTCGCATGGCATGAAGCCGTTTTACCAACTTGATGAGCACTGAATTTCCTTCTCTAGTTAGTAGGTTTCAGATCCCTGCCTGGAAGCTGAAACTTCCTTCAAGCCAAACTTAGCACTTTGTAGGAAGTGAACACCTACTATGTGCCAGGCACTGAACTAGTCTCTTTATATATGTCATATCCTCACAAGACCCTTTGAGGTATTGATGTGGGGAAAGAGGCTTCCAGGCCTGGTCACATATATGCTGACTGTAAGCAGAGTTCTTGTCTCCCTTTATATTTTGTTTATAACTTTTAGTCATGTCAATTGGGGTATAGAAATCCTTCTTCCGTTGAGTGCATCCACCTAGATTTTGTTTTTATTTATTTATTTTTAAATATTTTTGGCCACGAGGCTTGTGAGAGCCTAGTTCGTTGACCAGGAATCAAACCTGGGCCTTTGGCAGTAAGAGCATGGAGTCACTGGACGGCCGGGAACTTCCCTCCACCTAGATTTTTAGATAACAATTTTGAGTGTCTTCAAAGTGAAAGAATAAAACTAATCTAAAATTTTTTAAAGTAAGTAAACTGGATCTGAGGGGCAGCTCTTTTCTCCTTTTCATTTTTTTTTTTTGTTTTTTTTTGTGCTTTTTTTTTTTTTCCCTCTCAGGGGAGAGTCATTTACCTGGGAGACCAGGTGTGCAAGCTGACAGATGCCCCCTCTTGATAGCCTTTCCTCTCAGTGTCTCGACAACACATGCACTCTCCTTCCCACGTGAGGCTCTGCCCGCGGGGATTCGTGTATCAGGCTCTCAGATCCGTGCGCAATTGTATATGCATGAGACATTCACCCTCCCCATAGGACTGATTCATTCTGCTCTAGATCCTGCCTGCTTCCCATTCTGCTTCTCCCCGCCCCCACCTCGGTTCTGCTTGAGTGGAGTGATGCTTGGCTCAGCGGGTTGCCCCTCCTGACGCATCACCTCCCGTCTCGAGTCTTCCTGTTTCACAGAGGGGTCAGTAATAGGAAAAGAGACACAGAAGCCTTTTCAAAGAAAGCAACCCTTGGGGACAGAAAGCAGAGAAATGGGAGCCGAATCAGTTCAGCCTAGTTTTATAAGTAGACTTGGGCGGTTTGCAGCCCTGCCTCGCAGTGTCAGACGTCCGTCTGTCCTACTGCTGTTTGTCCTGTTTCTCTCTCTTTCTCAGCCTCTCCCTCTCTCTCTCTCTCTCCGCTCCGCGGACTTGAGTAGGTTTGAACACTGACTTATAGGAAGGGAGGAAAGGAGTATGTGAGAGAAGACCTCTTACTAAATGAACAAACTTCAGCGTTAGAAATAATATTCCCCAAGCAGTACCAAAATGTTAGAACAGAACATAAACAAAACAAACCCAGCTGCAGGGGATTCTAATTAAGTCTAAGTTGACTTTTGCAACTTGAACAAGATATGCTTGTCCTGAGGAAATGGTATCTCAAGCTACCTATAGGATTAATTTCAACTGAAATTAATTTCAGTTAATTCCTAAGGATTACCTGAATGTTTTAAATAAAATAGCAAGGGGAAGCAGAAAGTCAAATCAAATGTTATGAACTGAAAATCTGAGGATAAAGATTGAAGGCCTTCATTAACACTGTACCTAGTATAAGTGCTGGTCAAATTGAGCCTGGGGCTTCTTTCTCTTTTGTTCTTTCATGAAGTCATGTGCAATCCTATTCTTTCTTCCTTCACTTCCTGTTGTCTTCACACATATTGAATTTTTTTGCAGTTATTTATGTGAGAAATGGTGGTGCGTGGTTGAAAATCAAAATGGCAACCTAGGGAATTCTCTGGCAGTCCAGTGGTTAGAGGTCTGTGCTTCCACAGCAGGGGGTATGAGTTCAGTCCCTGGTCAGGGAACTAAGATCCCACATGCCTTGTGGCATGGCCAAAAAGAAAAGAAAGATATAACAGGGGGAAAAAGGCAACCTACTGATAGTCTAAAAGTGAAATTCTCAATATCGTATGTCTGGAAATCCTAGCACTAAACCTACTTAATATTAAACATTGAAAGAAGAGATAGTAACTGAACTGTACGCCAGTTGACTCTCAAGAATAGGCAAGTGCTTATATAAAGATACTGACTTTTTAACATTTTCAGTTCTGAGACTTATTTTAAAAAGCAGATTTTGTATTTCAGAAATCCCTCATCATGACATCTGCCAATGCTTGTCTCATATCTAAGCCGAGGCCAAGTTCTTTTCTGTGCTCCCTTTGAGTATGTCTGTTCTACTATCAGCTTCTGATTAGGAGAAGCTCAAGTGTTTTAGAATCTTTTGTTCTGCTCTATCGAATTAGTAATTGGAAAAAGGGGGTAAATCGTCAAAGTGTTTGATTCAGAAAGAATGAGTTAAGCTGGTTAATGAAAAAGTTAGTCAAGCAGGAAATCGCCCAAAAATGATATGTACTTTAAACATTTTAATTTAACTTAAATATATGTAAATTGACCAGCCTTTTGATGTAAGACCTTTATAAGACAGCTAATATAAACCATAGTTACATAGTCATTCTTTGGTATTACCTCCGTTGGATTCTAAAATCCACAAATGCTCAAGTCTGTTACATAAATTGGCATCCTCTCCAATAGTTTAAATCATCTGTAGACTGCTTATAATACCTAATACAATGTAGTGAAAGTCGCTCAGTTGTGTCTCTTTGCAACCCTATGCAACAGTCCATGGAATTCTCCAGGCCAGAATATTGGAGTAGGTAGCCATTCCCTTCTCCAGGGGATCTTCCCAACCCAGGGATCCCAGCCCAAGTCTCCCCCATTGCAGGCAGATTCTTTACCAGCTGAGCCACCAAGGAAGCCCAATACAATGTAAATGCTTTGTAAATAGTTGTCAGTGTGGCAAATTCAAGTTTTGCTTTATTGAGTTCCTGGGATTTTTTTTAATGTTTTCAGTCCTCGGTTGGTTGAATCTAAGGATATACAGAAGACAGGGACATGTAGGGCTGACTGAACTATGTTGTTTGTTTCCCATTTTTAGCTTCTTTATAGGTGAAGCAAAAATTGAAATCAATCTGTGTCTAGATTTTTATTATTTTCTTAACATTTAGAATCTTTTCACTTTACTGAATCGATAGGAATTTTAATTAGTAACTCACATTTATCAGTACTTTCCCAAGTATTCCATTCCCTTTTCTTATAAACAAGGATGTTTTCTCTTTTCACACTCACTTTCCATCCGTTTAAATATTTGTTTAAATTAGTCAGTTATGGTATCAAGCCTAGTGAGGAGCACAGGTGTAGAACTAAACCCATCTGGTGGAAGCCCAAGTGCCTGGGCATCCTGAAGAGGACAGCAAGCCCACATGGAAAGTGGTGAGCACCCAGCTGGCCAGCCCCCACGCCAGCTTATTGTACAGTGGACGTAGGAACACCAGGTTATTCCTCCAGCTGGCTGTGTGGAGTGAAGGGAAAATGTGGATATAATGAGAAGACAAAGATAAAGAGGTAATCATTTGATAGAAAGATGAATTCCTAGTCGAGCACTTAAGAGAAAGATGTGAACATTGGTTAAACAGAGATTGAATATACTTAAGATTTACATCAGTGGATCACTCTGACATTTTGGTTCAGCAGGCATATAGGGTGTCCTAGTCCCCTTTGTGTTCATTTTTTCAGAGACAGTGAAAATCACTAGTGGGAAATGAATCTCAGATAACCCTTTGTTTAGGAAGCATTCTACTGGGTAGAGTTTACTGTGACTGGTAGCTCTTTAGGTAAATTATTCCTTAGTTTATCATTGCGTTTGTTTCAGAATAGCCTCATATAACCTATTACACACTTCTAATGATGATGGCTCTTTAGATAAATTATTAAGTATTTGCACATTGCCTCACCTGAGTTCAGACCTGTTCTCCCTCAATAATGAGATAAGTGACGAGTAACTTATAAGAAAAGGAGCCTGTCCAAGACATTTTCCTTGTCGCTCATCATTTCCAGGTGGGGTTTGGAAGATCTTCCTCCTGATTACTTCTTTTCTGTATAGCATTTGAAGCTCCAAGGAGTCCATTGTCTTTTCCCAGACAGAGCTGGTTCTGTAGAGTATTTGGGTGAGGCTTCTGGCAGAAATTCCATGCAACCTGCTCATTTTAGGGTAAAGTTGCTGGGCACCTCACCTGTGGGTCAGATGCACCAGAAATGTCGTATACTCTGGACCCCTTTTCAGTTGAGAAATGCATTTCCTGTTGAAACAGACATAGGTGTAACTCATGCCGAGGTCTGTAGTGAAGAAATATGCTTCTCTTTGTAGCAGGGTGGGCAGCCCCCTATGACCTTCATATTTATCTAGACATACTTCATATTTATCTAGAAAGTTTATGTGTGCATGCTAAGTTACTTCAGTCGTGTCCAATTCTTTGCAACCCTATGGACTATAGTCCGCCAGGCTCCTCTATCCATGGGATTCTCCAAGCAAGAATACTGGAGTGGGTTGCCATGCCCTCCTCCAAGGGATCTTCCCAGCTCAGAGATCGAACCAGCATCTCTTCTGTCTCCTGCATTGGCAGCCGGGTTCTTTACCACTAGCGCCACCTGAGAAGCCCTGTGAAAGTTAATGGGAAGTAAATTACTCTCAAGTTGGAAGTCAGCTGCTTTAAGAAACTATAATCTATGGTCTCTTTTTGTAGATCTCATGTGTATCATATAGGAAATTATTGCTTTAGTCAGTTGTGGAAAAATGCCTAATATCTAATGCTAGAAAGGCTTTAAGCTCAGAATATGTGTGTACTTTTTTTATTGTTTTCCTGTTCTAACTTATACATTGGATTTTGTTCTGTTTATGAAAAAACTGAAAACAACAGCTAGCTATTGGGAAATAGCTCATTCTGGAGACTGTCCATACCCTTCAGCAGTTGAAATGAACTTGATGTCTTATGTGTGACCTGTAACCTTTATTGAAAGGATAAAAAAAAAAATCAACCTTGCCAAAGGACTTTGACCTGAAATTGAATGTTGATACTTGCCAGCATAGTTATGTGGGCTGAATCCCAACTGTCATGTGAACTTAAAAAAAAAGTGGGTGATCACATCCACCTACCTGGCTTACTGTACCCAGAAACATCCCCTCTTCCTTTGAACCCCAACTCCTCGTGCTCCTTTCCAGGGCAGTCTATTTCGTTCGGCATAAGGAATCCCGGCAGAGGTTTGCCATGAAGAAGATTAATAAACAGAACCTCATCCTCCGGAACCAGATCCAGCAGGCCTTTGTGGAACGGGATATCCTGACTTTTGCAGAAAACCCTTTTGTGGTCAGCATGTATTGCTCCTTTGAGACCAGGCGCCACTTGTGCATGGTCATGGAATACGTGGAAGGTGAGTCAGTCTCTGACGCAGAGAACATGGCGCTGATACCCAAGGCCACTGTCTGTATGTAACTGACCCATGCTTCACAGTGGTTGCATCCGCAGAGGAACCGAGGCTGGGCAATGAGATGGCAGTAATCCCAGTCATTATCTTCTGATAATTGCCTGTAAAGTGCCAGCTCTGTTATAACAAAGGGAAAATTAGTGCTACTTGGGAAAAAAAAAAGGTTGTTTTCCTTTTTAAATAGCCTTTCATCCTGAGTACCTCCTCTCAATTGGTCATTAACGTTAGAATATATGTGATGGGATTTTTCCTACTTATTTTTATCACGTATCATAAAATCATTCATTACAGTGGCTCCTCTTAAGGAATGTATTAAAAATATGTCCTTTTCAGTCTATGGTATTAAATTAAAAGTGAGTTAGAAGAAAGATACATTCAAGAAAATCTAACTTCTAAAAAAAGTACAAATCAACTTATTTACAAAAGCAAAATATACTCACAGACATAGAAAACAAATTTCTGGCTTTCAAAGGGGAAAGGGGAGGGGGAATAAATTAGGACTATGGGGTTAACTGATATACACCACTATATATAAAATAGATAACAAGGATTTCATGTATAGCACTACAGTTTAATTTAAAAAGCCTGTTTTTCTTTTGGAAGTTCATAGTCTGTCTTTTAAATGCTCAAGAAATGTTATTTCCATCAATTTTACATGAGATGTTTGAGTGTTTCAGTAGCCATGCCTTATTAACATAAATAAAACTATAAAATGAATAGGTAAGCAAGGGCCAAAACGGTTTTTTCAAAGCATCTGCTTTAAGCCCTTGTAATTATTTGAACAGAATCCCAAAACTTTACAATTTGAAGGAACATTAAATAGCATTTTCATTTTGCAGGTGAATGAACTGAAACCCAAGTTTCACTAGATATTTAGTGGTAGATACAAGACAAAAACATAACTTGCATGATTTCCACCCAATGTTCTTTTCACCACACCTATACTTTATTAACTTTTGCTGTGGTTATTTTAACAACAATCATTAATGTTTTCCACATGTTTATTATATGTTGAAAGCATCCTAAATTCTTTACATAGATTACTTCATTTAATCCTCACAATAAAAGGGATGACGTTATTCATATTCTGACATAACAGACAAAGGGACCAAGACCAATTTACCTAAGATGTCCCCACCTGTAAGAATCAAAGCTGGAATTTGAACTCAGGCAGCCTGATTCCAGAATCCGTGTTCCAAAATGGTTTATTATATATTTTTAAATTAATTTATTTATTTTAACTGGAGGCTAATTACTTTACAACATTGTAGTGGTTTTTGTCATACATTGACATGAATCAGCCTTGGGTTTTATTATGTTTTAAATGGTCACACTGTTCCTAAAACACATCATTAGTTCTTCAACTTTTTGTTTCACTTCAGGTCAAATCTGCTCCCTCATGAGCAGTGCTTCTTAAATAGACGTCTGTATTTTCTTCACAGCACAAATTAAGTAGAAACATGATTACCTAACACAGTCTCCACTTATGAGCATGATGGACTTTGTGGTTAGAGGCCATTCTGTTTTGAAATTCTGCAATCCAAACTGGTGGTCTTTAATCCCAGCTGATACAGTACTTGCTAAGTCTTTTTTGTTCTGTTTTATAGGGGGTGACTGTGCTACCTTAATGAAGAACATGGGTCCTCTCCCCGTTGACATGGCCAGGATGTACTTTGCTGAGACGGTCCTGGCCTTGGAATATCTACATAATTATGGAATTGTACATAGGGATTTGAAACCAGACAAGTATGTCACTGATGCAATATGTCTATTTTTCACATAATACAAATTTTTGTCTTTAAAAAATGTTTTCTTTTAATGCTGCTTTGCACATTTAAAAAGTCTCCCATAATGTTCCCCAAAGTTATTTTTAGCAGCATTTATAATTTTTGTATAATCTTTTTTAAAGGTTATGATGTTTATAATGATAGCTTATAAGAAACAAACAAAAGAGTATAAAACCAAGGTTAATTTATTTTTTTAAGGTTTTTATTATGTAAATAATAGGTACATAGAATGCCACGAGTTGTTTTCTGGGTAGTTTCTGCATTTAGAATCATATTTAGATAATTCTTTTCTCCTCCAAGATAATATTCTTGTAGAATCTTTTCTATTTTATTCATAATTTATTATTTAATTTTTAATCTATGTGGAGCTCATTTTGGTGTCTGATTTGAGATACAGATACACTGTTTTCCCGCCAAAGTCTAGATATTCTTCTTGACACCATTTATTAAATGTTTCATGCTTTCTCCACTAATTTGAGATGCCTCTAGAAGTATTTTTTCAGTGTGCTGAAAACTTTATGATAAAATTAACTCATGCTCATTCCAAAAGATTTGGGAAGTACCAAAAAAAAAAAAAATTCACAAAATTACCAAATACAACTATAGGATTTCAGCATATATCCTTCCGATAGCTTTATTTTTTAGACTCCTCCTTTAATTTTTTAAATTATTAAAATTTCATATGCCGCTTAAAATGAAAACAAATTTTAACTCTAAATTCATAAAGCTTTCAAATGTGCATTCTTTGCATGTATAAGAGATGTAGGTCTTTCTTTAGTGAATAGAAACTTAAGTTTGAGTCAGAAGTTAAAATCTGAAACAATACTACGTTTTTCTTCCAAGTTCTTTATCTTACTTGAATCACAGACTGGTAGCTTATCCTAGTTGCTGATGTGTAACACAGGATTATCAGTAGCCCTTTCTCTGTTATTTTTTTATTCTGAAAATGCAAAGATGTCAGAGTTCCGTACTTGAATTTTTCTGAGTTGCAAGTTGTAAGTGATCCTGTATGTAGATGCTCCAGAGAAGATGAGCAGGTCCTGATCTCTAGCCCTCCGTTGTGGATTACGCTCAGCTGCCAGATACATATTAATATATTTAACATCTTTGTGTGACTTCATCTCTTTACAGGCTGGATTTTATAATAAGATTGATACCTATATACTACATAGTCTTAAAAACTGTCAGTGGAAGGGAGAAAAGTAAAAACAAAAAAAATGAGCTTCAAAGGAGTATTGTCATATATGTCCTTCTGCTTCACAGTTTGTTGGTCACCTCCATGGGGCACATAAAGCTGACAGATTTTGGATTATCCAAGGTGGGACTCATGAGCATGACTACCAATCTTTATGAGGGTCATATTGAAAAGGATGCCCGAGAGTTCCTGGACAAGCAGGTAAGGTTGCATGTTGCTCAGTTCTAGTAAGTGTTAGTCCTGTGGTCGGATCTGACTCTTTGCGACCCCGTGGACCGGAGCCCACCAGGCTTCTCTGTCCATGGGATTCTCCAGGCAGGAATACTGGAGTGGATTTTCATTTCTGATACAAAGTACAGCATTGCCAATGAGATTCAGAACCAAAACTTGCCTAGGCTGTCTTCATATTAGCGCTGGGACTTTAGATGTCTTGATAAGCCTTACATTTAATAAAGTGCAAATTGCTCCCATTTTTCTCCCAGGACCTTTTTGAACTATAGGTCCCTCCACATTCCTCCCCCAGCATTATGGTCTATTAGTAAGATGAATGATCTAATTGCTCACAAGTGAGAGTGTGAGAGAGACAAATGGAAAACTGTTTTTGTAAGGAATTTGGGAGTCTCAGTAGAGTCCTCATGAGACTCATGATGCGTCGTACAATCACGGGTGCTAAACTCCAAGCCATGGACCATTTCTCTTTAAGCACGCCTCATTACCATGTGCCCACAATCTGTTCATTGTACAGTTACTTAAGGTGAACATGTCTCAACCATCAGGCTTTTATGAAGTAACCAGGATGTGAGTGTATTTCGGTCGTATAAATACTAAAACTCTCTGAGAGTGACAGATGAAAAAAATACAGTATTATTTTAAATTTCAGGGATTACAAATGTTTTTGCAAAGTAAATAAAGGTACTCAAATTTGAAATTAGATATTACACACAGTTTTCTGTTAAAGCAGCATTTTAAGCTTTGCTTTTTTTTTTTTTGGTATTTAAGTAATTCATTGCCTTTGGTATGATAGACAATGATTTAGAATCTCTGGTCTTAAGTTCTTTGTCCATGTGGTTGAGCAGGTGCATTCTAGGCAAAATAATTGATATTGAGCCATCTTGCTCATTTTAATTTGTGTCTAATATTCCAATTATTCTAATATTGCAATTATCTTTTAGGTCTGTGGCACACCTGAATACATTGCACCAGAAGTGATTCTGAGGCAGGGCTACGGGAAGCCAGTGGACTGGTGGGCCATGGGGATTATCCTCTATGAATTTCTGGTTGGATGCGTGCCGTTCTTTGGGGACACTCCAGAAGAGCTATTTGGACAAGTCATCAGTGGTAAATATTGTCAGGAGTTATCTCTAGGCTACTGTTGGGAAGCAGCTTTTTAATGTAATTCTGGGGAATATTACTGTTTTTATTACTAAAATGTTAACCTTTATCAAATGGTTTAGCCAACAAATTAAAAGAACTCACTCATCATAGCATGAAACTGACTTTCATAATCTCAATGGAGCCATTTGTGTTGGAAATTGATCTGAAGTTTTGTTAACGTGGAATTTAGAAATGTACTAGCGATGTAACTGATGTTTATGGTGTGCTTTATCTGCAAAAGAAATTGGTGTGGGATTTGCAAATGATTTCACTGCTGTCCAGTCTTCCTTTCCATAATAGGAGAGTTGCACCAGGGAAGAAAAGGTTAATGTGGGTAACATTTGCATAAATGGGGAAAATGGCTATTGGCACAGTGAAGAAATTAGCAAAAATGTAATAAACCCTAAAACAAATGTCTACCAAATAATAAATAATGAGAATGGGGAGGAAGCAAATTTAATCCACAGATTGTTAATGATTTCATTGGTAGTTGTTATGGTGTAATGTTATTTCTTAACAGCTGTTCATCTTTCATTTAAATTCAATAACCTTTAGATCTTAACCTGCAAGCTGACCCTAACTATTGTTATGTGGCTTGTGGCAAAACTAAATGATAATTAAATAGGCCTATTACTACCCTACCTGCTGTTTTTATAAATTTTCCTGAAGCAGAGATCAGAAAGGCCTCTCTTACTCAAAGTTTGTTAGTCATCACTCACATCTTCACCCACCTCTGGTCCCTTCTGGACTATACTTAGAAGGCCCAATGGTGGAAATAGGGGGATAATTCCTTTTGGTATAAGGAACCTTATAATCACAGCATTATTTTCTGTCACTGACTTTGAAAGCCATGCCTCTTTGTAAATTTAAACAAAGTAGATTTGCGAGTTGCCTGCAGTGTATAACCCTTTTATACAATATCTGAGCTCTTTATGGATTTATAACTAGACTGTCTGCTGATATACCAAGGCCTGAGCGGCAAGAGGAATCAACTGTTTAATTAACACAAGCAGCCAATGCTGGCTTTGCTTTCTCAGTGCCTTGCGGCTCAGCTGCATATTCATGTTTTATTTTCCAAATCAGATTTAAACTGCAGCGGAGGAAGCTAGAGGCAGGCACACACAGAAATAACTCATGTTTTTATTGCATTTCCATACACACAAGCATGCACACCTATCTTCAGGCCAAGTCCTTGAGAATGTAGAACCTATTTTCATATTTATGGCAGATTTTAAATACTTCCATTACTATGATTTCTTTGGGTTCTTTTCTTCTTCTTCTTCAGTCTTAGCATTTTAACCTTTCCTTTGTCTCTGGAAATAGTTATTTTCACAAAATTATTTTTTACTCCTCAAAGCAAAAGAACTCTAGAGCTGTGGCCAAATTCTCAGTTAAGTATGATAGTAGAAGAGAAAATCTGACTCCCCATGATCCCTGGGTGGGTGATTGCCTTAAACATAGGAGTTTAGAGTTTCCACTATATTGAACCCTATTAATATCAAGAGAACTAATTTGCAGTGTCAGTTCTACCAAAGAAAAATGAATCAAAAAGGTAAATGAGAGATACTCATTTGAAATGTTCTTATGTTGGCTTGTTGAAAGCAGTACTATACATATCTTGTGCAAGAGTGCTTCTCAGACTTGACTGATCCTAGGAATCAACTGAAGGAATCAGCTGTGGATTCCGATTAAGCTGGTGGAATGGAACTTGAAGTTCTGCATTTCTGACTCCTGGATGTTATCCATACTGTTGGGATGTGGACCACCATTTGAGCAATACAATCTATCACCTATTTTTCTTCCTTCTAGATGAGATCAACTGGCCTGAAAAGGATGAGGCACCACCTCCTGATGCCCAGGATCTGATTACCTTGCTCCTCAGGCAGAATCCCCTGGAGAGACTGGGAACAGGTTAGAGCACATGTGTTTTAATTTTCCTAATATGCAGGAAATAATGTCAGTGTGAAGCACTCAGAGGTTCGTATTTTTGTTTTGTTTTTTGCATGGGAAACATCTGTTGATTGACTCAGAATGTGACTACAATACAGTAAACAATATTTAAATTTTTTTTTCTGATTCAGAGCAGTATGTACACTATGAGGGTTGGTGGCTGTTCTTTTGTTGTTCTTTTTTGGAAAGCAGAAATTTTTCTTACTTTGTTTCAGTCAATAAAATTTCTCTGGAAGAAAACTTCAAGGGCAAAGGGCACATGTAACTCTTCTGTTTTGAAAAGCATGAATCTTAAAAATTTGAAACAGAAGATTAGGACTATGGAGAGGTTTTTTCCCCTAGAAGGATTTGACCCAGCAGTTACTATCTATAAGTTTTGAAACAGATTATAGTACTTGAACTAATTACTAGAAACAAGTGCCTTGGGTTGAACCATACTATTCTATCATGGTGATCAGTACCATGGCCCAAGAAAGAGGATTAAAAAACATTAACTTTCAAGATAAAGGAGATAGTAGATTTATTTCTTGCTGATTATTTTTTGTGACTGTTCTACTACCAGTTTTTTGTTTCTCCAAACTCGTTTTCCTTTTCTTCCTTATATTCTTAATAGACAGACTTAGAGATTGCAATACAGTCCTAGCCAACTCCAGTATGTGAATTTACCGAGATGAGACTAAATATTAAATACACATAATGTACACATGTGCACACACACATACAGCACACATCGCACATACACACTGTATTGATAAAAATTTTCATCCATGACAATTGTTGCCTTGCTGAGTTGTTTATTCTGAGCTGTTTCATCCTACCCCGTTTTACTAGAAAGACAAGAAAATGCTGATGAGATCATCCTCTCACCCAGTTTTTTCTAGACAGAAATCGTTTGCAAAAACTCCAAATAAACAATATCTTATATTGTTCTCCACTTTTGCTCAGAGCTTCCTCAGTTGGAGAGCTCTTTTTCTTGCTTAAGTATGGAATGCTGTGCTACCCAGAGTTTCTGATGATTCATTAAAATCCCTGGATCCGATCTTTATTTTGTAAATAAAGTTTTATTGAATCACAGCAGTGCTGGTCACTTGTACATTATCTATGGCTATCTTCATGCTGCTTGGCCGAGTTGAGTAGTCATGACCAACTACATGGCCCACAAGGCCCAAAACATTTACTATCTGGCTCTTGGCAGAAAAACCGTGAAGACCCTGCCTTAGAGAATGCAAGAAGCTTTCATGGTTTTTTTGAGGACAGGGGGGCACACTACGAGGCTTGTGGGATCTCAGTTCCCCCACCAGGGATTGAACCCAGGTCAATGCCAGTGAAAGCCAGTGTCCTAACCACTGTACCACCAGGGAATTCCCAAGACGTTTTAAAATCAGAACTCAATTAGGAAAACTAATTTGAGTTGAGTTTTGTACTAGAGTGCCTGACTGTATGCTAAGTCACTTCAGTCGTGTCTGACTTTGTGACCATATGGGCTGTAACCTGCCAGGCTCCTCTGTCCATGGGATTCTCCAGGCAAGAAGACTGGAGTGGGTTGCCATGCCTTTCTCCAGGGGACCTTCCTGACCCAGGAATCAAACTGTGTCTCTTCCATCTCCTGCATTGGCAGGCCAATTCTTTACCACTGGTGCCACCTGGGAAGCCTTTATGCTAGAGTGCCATGTGCTTTTTGCTTTCTTCCATGGATAAGTGGACCTTTCACTAGGAAAGGCGATATAATGAAGCTAGAGGCATAAACTCAGGAGTCAGGTTGCCTGGGTTTAAATCCAAACTCTGTGATCACGAGCAGGTTGTTTCCCTTTCTGTGCCTCATCTGTAAAATGGAGCTGATAGAAGGTCTACATCCCAGGATTACTGTGAGGATAGAAGATCGCCAACACTGTCTATTGGGACCAGATGTGACTCTGTTGCTGGTGTTGTCAGTTTTTATTTTTCTGCATGTATAATCCCATACTTTCCCCTTTGGCAGATGAGATTTAGGAATGGTGATGGTGCTCCCATCTTTGAGCTGATTGAACTCTTTGAATAGAATTCTTTATCTTTCTTGTCACCCTATTTGGATTTCCTTTTGTCTGAAGTGACTAGCAAACTGGTTATTTCCCTCTGTCTGTGATCTACAGTCGGATTTGCTTTATGGTCCAAGAGATAAGCATAGCTGTCCAAGAATGGGAGTCAAGGCTCTGTGTGGTACAGAGATTTGAGAGGTGGTTTTACTCACTGGAGTCAAATATGAGAAGCAGAGGCATTTTAAGAGTGCCGTGCAGCAATACAAATACCTGTTTGTATAGTCTAATCAACTGTCCCAGGGAAGTATTGTTCTAAGGGAGAGCTAAAAATGTATTGGCATCATATCAGCACTTCTGCTAAAGAGTTCTCTTCAGTGTTGGCACATCACTTTGGAGAGTTTTCCTATTTACTCTGCCCATTCATTTCCCTCTCCTAGGAACGTGTGGGCTCTCGATTGGTCTTTACTTAGCAAGACAGGGCTATGGATGGTGGTCAGAACATCCACGTCTGTACATTATACGCTGCAAGTTTTCTTTGCACATTTTCTCCTTGACTGCTGGTTTCAGTCTTTTCAGGGTTTGACAGATTGAGAAACAAATCTTCTAGCAGAAGCTTGCAAAAGACTTTAAAAGACCCTGCCCAAGCTCTTAGCATTGTCAAGGAGAGCTTGCCAAACAGGCAGGTCCAATGTGCTAAGTCCCAGTAGGGCCCAGAGAGCAAGTCTGAGAATCCCGCAAGTCTGCCATGCTGCTTTCAATGACAGTGTTTTGGATTTGATGCATATTAAGAGGGCAAAATAATGCACGAAAATGTGCGAATGTACGTTTGCCCAAGAGACTAGAGAGGCTGCAAAAAGGAGTGTGAAGAGCATAATGGATGTTTAAGAAAATTCTGTGAAAGGAGAGAAAAGCTCAAGGGAGAACACTAGTGCCAAACCTTAACTTGCAATTTGGGACCTTGTTGTATTTGAATTTGACTTTTGAACTTGCAGAAGATTGAGTGCAGCTGGGCTCATTGGCCTTTGAGACCTGCTCAGATGTGACTGACTCCCACCCATGAGCCAGCTGGGAGGTCGTAAGTCATTTCTTCATTGCCTGGAGTCTCAGTGTCCTAATCTGTGGAAATAAGCATGTTACACACCTCATGGGATTATTGCAGGATTGAGTGCAGGCATGTTGGAGGAGGTATGTGGTTACATTGATCTGGTGCATAACAGGAGTGCAAGAAATGGCCACTTTCCCTTCCTTTACCTTTCTGGTGAATTCTTACGGTGAGAGTGACATTGTGTGAGTTCCTGTGTCTGATGATTTGTATTTGGCTCATAAAGCCACCATCTATATTATTCCAAGAGGTTGTTGTTCAGTCGCCCAGTCACATCTGTCTCTCTGTGATCCCATGGACTGTAGTACGCCAGGCCTCCCTGTTCCTCACCATCTCCTGGAGTTTGCCCAAGTTCATGTTCATTGCATCAGTGATGCCATCCAGCCATCTCATCCTCTGATGCCCTCTTTTCCTTCTGCCCTCAATCTTTCCCAGCATCAGGGACTTTTCCAATGAATCATCTTTTCACATCAGATAACCAAAATACTGGAGCTTCAGCGTCAGTCCTTCCAGTGAATATTCAGGGATGATCTCCCTTAAGATTGACTGGTTTGATCTCCTTGCTGTCCAAGGGACTTTGAGGAGTCTTCTCCAACACCATGGTTCAAAGACATCAATTCTTTGGCACTCTGCCTTCTTTATGGTCCAGCTCTCACAACTGTACGTGACCACTGAGAAGACCACAGCGTTGACTGCACGTACCTTCATCAGCAGAGTAACATCTCTGCTTTTCAACACATTCTCTAGGTTTGAGGTTGTGCCATGTGCTTAGTCGTTCAGTTTTGTCAAACTCTGCGACCCCGTGGACTGTAATCTGCCAGACTCCTCTGTCCATGGGGATTTTTCCAAGCAGGAATATTGGAGTGGGTTGCCATGTCCTCTTCCAGGGGATCTTCCCAGCCCAGGGATCCAACTCAGGTCTCCCACATCGCAGGCGGATTCTTTGTCTGAGCCACCAGGAAAGCCCAAGAATACTGGAGTAGGTAGTCCATCCCCTCTCTAGGGATGACTTCCCGACTTCCCGACTCAGAAATTGAACTGGGGTCTCCTGCATTGCAGGTGGATTCTTTACCAGCTGAGCTACCTGGGAAGCCCCAGGTTTGAGGTTGTTAGCCCAGGGCTAATTTTTCTCTGGTATGTCCTTTTGATTCTTTTGCTCCCCCTCTCTCCAAAAGTGCATGAAAAACAAGTCTCAGTGATAAGCAGCTGCTGTCAGTGGGGCACAGAGGCCAATGGGTGAGACCTGGGCCCTGGGTCGGCAGTGGGCTGGGCTCCCCGGGGAGGGCCCACTTGTCATTCTCTATAGAGAGCAAGTGAAGGCTCTCACCAATATGTGTGCCAAGGTGTGGGTCAGGGAGCAAACACTCTGGATATGGTCTGCAAGTGTCTTTTGAGCCTTTGGGTCCAGAGAACTATGCTTTGCTGGCTAAAGTTGAGTGACCTGGATGTTCCAGAGCTGTCATTTGATGAGGCCCCAAGAGTGGCAGCTGAAGTCATAATCGTTGCTGAATAGTGCTTGGTAGGCCACTAGGTAGGACCTGACTCTTTGGACCTATGTCACTGGCACAGTGAGGGAATTGAATTGATGCATATTTTAGCACTTTGATCGTCTCCAAGCAAAGATCACTGGAAGAAAATGTCCCTGGCCTGTGTTTGGGGATGTTTGTTGGGGTAGATGAGAACCAGGATGCAGAGGACTGGAGCTGGACTAGGCAGACATGCTGAGGAGCTGGGTGTATGGCTCCTTTCCCGATATCCACAGTTGTGAATCCATTTGAAAGTTGATGCGAGAGAGAGGGCAGGGTAGGACCCAGACTAAAGCAGGCCTTCCCTTACATGGCATGTGGTGCTGTGGCGCTGAGGATGGACCGGTGGGTTTTTTTTTTTTGTTTGTTTTGTTTTTGTTTTTGTTTTTTTTGGACCGGTGGTTTTTAGACAGACCTCAGCTCAGCCCCTCCAACCCTTACTCACTGGATGATCTTGACCCAGTACGGTTTACTGCTTATTTGCTTTACCCATCCAAAAAATAGNTGAAACCATTCTCTGGGCAGTTAATTAGGAGTTGGGCATTTCCTAGACTCAGATGCTTTTTAAGAAGTGAGTGAGTGAAAGTCGCTCAGTCGTGTCCAACTTTGCAACCCCATGGACTATACAGTCCATGGAATTCTCTAGGCCAGAATACTGGAGTGGGTAGCCTTACCCTTCTCCAGGGGACCTTCCCAACCCAAGGATCAAATCCAGGTCTCCCACACAGCAGGCAGATTCTTTTACCAGTTGAACCACAAAGGAAGCCCAAGAATACTGGAGTGGATAGCCTATCCCTTCTCCGGAGCATCTTCCCAACACAGGAATCGAACTGGGGTCTTCTGCATTGCAGGCGAATTCTTTACCAACTGAGCTATCAGGGAAAAAAGTATACTATACAGTCCATGGAATTCTCCAGGCTAGAATACTAGAATGGGTAGCCTTTGCCTTCTTCAGGGGATCTTCCCAACCCAGAGATCGAACCCAGGTCTCCCACATTGCAGGTGGATTCTTTACCAGCTGAGCCACACGGGAAGCCCCTTTACATGGGGGACCGTGTAATACTTTGATGGGGTCTGCCCTTCAAAATCTCTCTGTAAAATCATAAACTGAATTACAAATATTAGTTTGATTCACTGATATTCACTGAATATCAGGCTCACTTGGCAAAAAGAAACCTAAAACGTAGGAATTGTGGTTGCTTTTCATCACATGTATTATAAATCTATCAAACAAGTTTGCCAATTTCTTATTTAAGAATCTGTAAGCCATAGAATCTGATTCCTACCAATGTTAATGAACAATCCAATAAAATTGAAAAATGACCATTATATATTATCATCTTTATTAAAATCTTACCTTCATACATATACCTATGGCTGATTCATCTTGCTATATGGCAGAAACCAACACAATATTGTAAAGCAATTATCCTCCAATTAAAAATAAATTTTTTGGACTTATTTGGAGTTGCAGTGGTTAAGAATCTGCCTGCCAATGCAGGGGGCATGGGTTTGATTCCTGGTCTGGGAATATTTCACATGCCTGGGTCAACGACTGAAACTGCATGTCCTAGAGGCCACAGGTCACAACTCGAGAGTAACCCCCACTCTCTGCAACTAGAGAAAGCTTATGTGCAACAGCAAAAACCCAGCATAGCCTATATATATATATGTATATATATGTGTATATATATGTGTGTATGTATGTATATATAATTTTAAAAAAGAGAGAGAAATCAATTGTGGTAGGTACCCCCAAATAAATAAATAAATAAAACTTACCTCCAGAGGAATTACTGCCATGGGCACGTTTTATACCTTCTTAGAATTTTAGGGGGGTTGCAAGCAGCAAGTCTGCTTTGGGCCAATGTGTGTCCACATCCCCAGGTTCAGCATAATGGGATTTTAAGTGGCCGTGTCATTAACCTTTGAAAAATGGAGGAAGTCATGGAAAAATTAACAAAGAAAAACTGTGCCATAGCAACTGCTGTTAGCAGAATCAAATCCCCTGCTGATAAATTACGGGAAATTTTTGGAGCTTTGGTTTGTAGCATGAAGAAGATTTCCCTGATTTCTTTAATTCTCTCTTAATAGAACTTTTTTTTTTTCTGTTGTTCTTAAAAACTGATTCTTACCTTTGTTGGGAGGATAACTGAACACTTTTCCCTCTATTCTTTCCCTCCACTCTCTACCCTAAGGTGGTGCATACGAAGTCAAACAGCATCGATTCTTCCGTTGCTTAGACTGGAACAGTTTGCTGAGACAGAAGGCAGAATTCATTCCCCAACTGGAATCTGAAGACGACACAAGTTATTTTGATAGTACGTGCAATATCTGACATAAAACATTATTTGGCCTTTTCTTTGTGGAAAATCAGCTCTGTTTTTGATAGGTACCTTCCAGTCTTAAACCCATGAGTTCTGAAACATAATGCTGCCTTGATAGAGAAACTCATAATTAAAATAGCTAAGTTAAAAGCTGAAATTCTGAATAATTGAAACTGCTTTCCAAACCTTTCCCTGCAGCTCGGTCAGAGAAGTACCATCATATGGAGACTGAGGAAGAAGATGACACGAATGATGAAGACTTTAATGTAGAAATAAGGCAGTTTTCCTCATGTTCACATAGGTTTTCTAAGGTAAGTGAAATATGGCATAAACATAGAGGGTCTCTCTTAGACAATTTCCTACAGGTCAGATTTGTTGTTGCTGCCTAATTGCTAAATTTTGTCATACTCTTTGTGACCTCGTAAACTGTAGCCCACCAGGCTCCTCTCTCCATGGAATTTCCCAGGCAAGAATGCTGGAGTGGGTTGCATTTCCTCCTCCAGGGGATCCTCCCGACCCGGGGATCGAACCCACGTCTCTTGCACTGGCAGGGGGATTCTTTACCATTGAGCCACCAGGGAAGCCCATGGGTCAGATAGCTGGTACCTTACATGCCTTTACGAGGTTGTGGAAACCACCTGTGGTGTTTCGGAGCCTGGAGTATCTTTTAAGGGTGGAAAAGAGTGACCCCATCATTTTGATAAACCAGCGTTCCTACCCCCACGCAGTGGTAGGTTTCTCTGTTCCAGCTCCACAGATTAATATCCTTTTTCTTGGAGGCAGACTTGCACTCACAGTTTCTCTTTGGGGAGTGTCTGATCCCATCTCCATGTGGACCCTGGTCTAGCTCTTGCTGAGCTATGGAGGCATCCTCCCATTGCTTTTATAAGAAGAATTTTGAGCTCATTGTGTGCAGAGCCTTCTCCTAGTATCCCACGGATACAACGCAAAGGAGAAGGCTTAGTCCTTGATATAAGCCCAGGCACTTGGAGACAGTTGATTGTGAAATGAGACAATCTCTTAATCAGTGATAGAAAGTGTAAGATATATTAAAGGGGCAGCAGGCCAGACAAGCTAGAATTTTGGAAATAGTAGAAGATAAAATCAGTGTTGGAGAAAGGTGTTTTTTGACTGGTAGTGGGAATATTTAAAAGACAGACAAACCAAAGACACACCTGATAGTCCTGAGATGAACAGGGCCCTAGGAAGATAGAAATGAACCTAGGGGGCACCCTACCTTCCTTTTGCTGTTTTCACTCAAGATGTATTTTCTGTTGCCGTGGCATTTTGCATCATTATTGTGTAGCTTTTCTATAGCAATGAATGATTTAAAGTGTTCCGTAGCTTTTTCTAAGTGACTACCCAGAGTGCTCTGCAGATTGGCCGACACTGCCCTCCCTGGTTATAGGAGTGACACAGAGAGGTAGGGATTTCCCTGGAGGGGAGGCCCAGGTCTAGGCCAGAGCCAGGAAAGAAGCTGATGACGGAGTTCAGGCTTTCCCAGTACCTGTTCTCTGGCCCGTCGAAGCCATCCCCTACCCTGCACCCTCTCTGCTGTCTCCTGTTCTTTTGCTCCCTTCTTCCTAATCCCAGGAGATTATAGGAGCTATAAGGGCCATCCCCATGAGAGCAGCAGGTGGCTGGCTTGGGTGTAGCGAGTGCTTCCTGGGTTGGACTCTCAGCTCTCTGTTTTCGCTTCCATCTTGCCCGTGGTACAGCAGAGACCTCCGTTTGCTTAAGCTATGATCCCCTTCTGAAACCCCAGTATCAATATATGAGGCTGCCTGTTGGTATATGTGATTTATAAGCCAAACAAATACCTCTGACTCCTCACCAAGTACACGCTGCATCTCCCTGTGATGGGTCTTGAAACAGGTAATGTATTCTTCTCTTCCCTCTCAATGCCAATTCATTTTTCTACTTCCTGCCCCTGACTGGGGGCCATTAAATCTTTTTCTCTGTGATTTGCTTTTTCTGATTGACTTCATGGTTAAATGTAATCTAATGTGTGTGTTGATCCCAGGCCTGGAAACCCCAATGCATGTATGGATTTTGTTTGCAGATACAAAGTCCATAGTGAGATGTGGTGGGAATGTGATGAATTCATAGCTCCCCACTCCAAAAGGAAATAAAATTGTACAGTTGGCCACTCACCTCAGGACTCAAGTAAATAGCTTTGGAAAGTACCTTCTGAATAACATGGCCCCAATTCAGACCTTAGTCATACTCTCAGGTTGTTCTCCCAGGACTTTTTTTTTTTTTCTTCTGACAAGCCCTTTCCAGAAGATATTAATAAGCACTGATTCTTTGCCTTGCAGGTTTTCAGCAGTATGGATCGAGGTACTCAGAATTCAGGAGAAGAAAAGGAAGACCCTGGGGACAAAACTAAATGCACAACTTTGCCATCCACGGAAACGTTAAGCTGGAGTTCAGAGTATTCTGAAATGTATGTGAAATGCTTGTTGAGAAGCACTGTAAACAGCAGCTACTAGGGCAGTGGTTCTTAAACGCGACCATGCATCCGAATCTCCTGGAGGGCCTGTGGAAGCAAAGTGCTGACCCAGGAGGTCTGAGATGGGGGCTGAGGATGTATATTTCTCTTTCCTTTTTTGTAAAAATACAGTTTTACATCCTCTTGCATTTTTTTCATTTACGTGTTTCTAACTGAGCTGGGTCTTTGCTGCTGCACGGCTTTCCCCAGTTGCCATGAGAGGGGGCTGCTCTCCGGTCGCTGTGCGGGGCTCACTAGTTGCGACTCACGGGCTCTGCATGGGCTCAGTACTCGTGGCACATGGCCTTGGTTGCTCCACAGCATGTCGGACCTTCCCAGGGATCAAACCTGTTTCCCCTGCACTGGCAGGTGGATTCTTACTGCTGGACCACAAGGGAAGCCCCAAGAGTATGCATTTCCGACCAGTTCCTGGGGATACCTCTGGTCTGGCACAGTTTAGAAGTCACTGCCTTCAACATGTGTCGGTTAGGCGCTATCAGTTCCATTTTTACCTGCTTTTTTTTTCCCCCTAAAATTCACCTTGCACACAATTTCATAGTGTCTGTAGATATGTGACTTTGTTTTTGTGTTTAATTAAGGCAACAGTTATCCACATCCAACTCTTCGGATACCGAAAGCAACAGACATAGACTCGGTTCTGGGCTGCTTCCCAAGCTGGCTGTTTCAGCAGAGGCAGAACATGATGGGGCTGCTCCCCACCCCAGAGAGCTGCATGAGGAGCCGGAAAAGCCAGCCCTCCCCCCGGCAGAGAGTGCTCAGGAGGAGCCCGAGGTCACCACCCCGGCCAGCACCATCAGCAGCTCCACTCTGTCAGGTAGGCCGTGGTCTGGCCCCTGCCATCCCAGCATCACCTGCCAGGTTGACTGCGGCGCGCAGAGTCCCAGGCCTGGCTTTGGACCAGGCAGTGATGATGGGCGTTTTGTGTTGCTAGACTCTCTTACAGCCCCACTCCTTAGGCGATGGGCTCCTCAGAGCTGAGATCAGACATCTCAGCTCTCTCCTTAGTGCAGGGCTGTACAGGCAGTCTTTCTTGCTTCACCTGAAGCCTTCACGTCCTCTGATGGGTTTCAGCAGCGCCCTTGGATGGTCTTCAGAACGCAGTAGGGGAGCTTGTTCTTCATTGTGGAGCCAAAGGCACAGCAAAGGTCTTGTGGAGTTGCATCTAACTCAAAGTGATGAGTAAGCAACCCTGTCAAATGGTCAGCAGGACCCTCAATGGCACTTTATATCACCATCTGTATAGTGTAAGCCAGTTTTCCCTCTGGTGTTCAGATGGGTGGTTGTTTCCTTGAAGGAGCTGGTTTTTGTTGTGGGGCCACATTATACCCAGTCACCAAATAGTCTCCACTCTAAACCCTCAGTCAATGCAGCAAAATTCTCATGCCGAGAGGGGAGAGGGGAGTCAGAGACACAGTTCAAACTGATACCTTGTGTGCCTATGAATCCACTCCACTGCACACAGGTTTCCAGCTTCTAGGTAACTGGTGAAGACACTTCTGAGACATAGTCTGGTGTGTGCAAAGCAGTCCAGGGGCATAGGCCTTTCCTGGGAGAATTATTAATGTTACTTTTGTGTGAAGTAAACCTTCCTGACCAGAGGAGCAGTGTCTCCCCAGGTTTTTAGAATGCCTAATGTGTCATGGTGGAGAAAGCGATGGCACCCCTCTCCAGTACTCTTGCCTGGAAAATCCCATGGATGGAGGAGCCTGGGAGGCTGCCGTCCATGGGGTCGCAGAGAGTCGGACACGACTGAGCGACTTCACTTTCACTTTTCCCTTTCATGCACTGGAGAAGGAAATGGCAACCCACTCCAGTGTTCTTGCCTGGAGAATCCCAGGGATGGGGGAGCCTTGTGGGCTGCCGTCTATGGGGTTGCACAGAGTCGGACACGACTGAAGCGACTTAGCAGCAGCAGCAGCAGCAGCAGCAATGTATCGTGGATAACTTGGGGCCCTTAATCACAGAGGTGTCCTCATTAAATGATTGGACTTGCGCTTCCCTCAGAGCAAGCCCTTGAGGCGCATTTCAGGTATCATTTGGTTTATAGAAATGTTATGCATAGCACATCCTTCCACAGAGCAATGTGCATTTATGCTTTCAAAAAATAAAAATATGGGTATGGCTTAAGGTTGCTATAATAAATGTTTTCATTAAGCCGTATCCAGTATGCTATATTGATAACCATGAATGATTATCATGAACTTTTTTTTTAAACTAACTGAATATTCAGTGTATAATTTTGTTTTGTTTTGAATCATTTCAAAATAATAAATTTTGCCAGGTTTTATTTCCGCCTCATTAAAAAGTCTGCTTCTGTGGAGCTTCATGTGAGCTGATAGTTGATCATGGGAAAAATAATGTTGGGTTTCTCCCTTCTCTCTTTTCCTCTCAGTTCTATTTCCATGTGGGATAATTCCACATGTCCTAACTTGGTAGAGCCAAGATAATAGCAATGAAGAAGTGTGTAAAAACAAGCTAGTAGCCTAAGATTCCTGTTCATCTTGGTATCGAATCAAATGTGGATATGTCAAGTGCTTTATATTTCTGGTTACTAAGTTCTCATGTGTTTCTTAGTTTATTATTTACTCTGAATAGAGTTGCCTCTATTTCAGTTATTCTTAATATGATGAATTGTTTATGATCTCTTGGACTCTTCTGCCTACTGACTATCAGAAAGTTACGAGGTAGAGGGAAGGGAATGGTGTCTAAGCATTTGATTGATTACTTTCATAATTAAAAAAAAAATCTGTCTCTGTCCTGCCGTGCATTTTGATTAATAGATTCAAACCACCTTTCTCTCTGTCTCCCTCAGACACACACTAAAAATAATCAAAGACCTTGGGGGCCGTACAGAATAGAGAGATGAGCTGATTTGCTCATAGCCAAGGGTAATTAGGAAATCTGAAAACCGTGACTGTAGTAAAATTAAATTTGTTGATTTTTATATTGCTCCACCATCAAAAAGAAAGAACCCTTGACATTTACAGAACATTAAAGTGACATTATCCACCCTTGGCAGGAAAGACTCACACGTTTATACACAGTGTTATGAAATGAGATGGCAGAGGCAGGCAGGGGGATGATAAAAGAGAACGGCGTATATTCACACTCCAGCGTTTAGGGAAGTCCAGGTTTGTATCTGTTTCCTTTTCTCGACTACAGTGTATTTGAATCAGTGAGAAGCAAAAGTCCTGAACACTTAGGTGTAGTGCTCGAATGCATCCAACAAATTATTCATCATGAAGAGATTCAGCTTTCCAGTTTACATTTGTCAATGATCCCATACAAACCGAATGAGAAAGAAGTGAGCGTGTAACTTATCCCAGAGCAAGCTGAAGGTTTTTGAGGTGAGATTTAATTTTTAAGCAATTTTTGCCTAGTCCCTCAGCAGTTAATATCTTTATATTTAGAGTGAATAGGATAGATACACTGTTAAATGGAGTTGAGTTTAGCATATGCAAGTGGAAAGAGGGTTGTTATTTGCCTTGAGTATCTTCTTTGGTAGGTCAGATTGTGGTCACACAGAGGACTGCGAATCTTCTCCTCTGCCTGCAGCGCCTGGCTGGCTGTGAACTGTGTTGTTCGCAAGCCCCACTGTCCGGGGTCCTAGGCGTTCCTCAGTGTGGACCACGCCTGTGGGGTCGCGTCACCTCTGTGAACTAGGACCAAACTTCAGCTGTGCCGTTGTGAGTCTAGCACTGTAACAGAAATGTTAGTTAAATCCAATTAAGCCTCTTTTCTCGGCAAAGAATGTCATGGTCAGCACTTTAAAATGTGCTGGCTGGTCTTCCAAAGGATCATTTATAATGGTATTAAATTCTCTCTGTGGATTGCATATCTTCATGTGATGATAGCGCTGATGATTTTTAAAGCACAGGGGGCTTCTAATATAGCATGTAGAAAGACAAGGGAGATAAGCATTGTTTTTTTCTGGACGACAAATATGTAATATCATTGATAAGAAAAAAGAAAGGAAAAAATACCCAAAACTGATAGACCGTGAAAGAAAGAATAGGAGAAACGGAAAGAGATGGTCATGTGACTTTTTTTTCAATATGTCACTTCTGACAAGAGAGAACTGTCTTTATTCTGGGCATGTGCACTTACCAGACTGGTATCAGTGATATTCCATTTCTGCATTGTTCTATATGGTGGCATATTCTCTCACATTAGTCTGCTGAGGGAAGTCCTAATTTTTTAACTTAAAAAAACCCTTCCGGTTTATATTCAAAGTAATAAATTAAAAATAAGACATGGCTGGCTTAGAGGGGGACAGATCTTCTCACTGGTCCAGGAATTTCAGGCCAGGTCAGCATATGGCTGTGTCAAGACTAAAGCCAAGAAGACGTAGCAAGCCATTGGGTAACGCAGCATGTAGTGAAAGACACTCTGTCTTGGCTTGTGAAATTTACGAGGAGCTTAGAGTCAAAGGAGGTGTGGGAGGTCAAAGGTGACACTTTAGATGCTTTTATGGAAGTTACATCCTGAGCCTAGTGTGAGGTGTGTCTTGGAAAGATGGTAGGAGATGACAGGGGCATAAGTCTCTGTGGAGTGACTAAATAATGTCCACTTAGCAAAAACCAGCATTAACTGCCTTGCTAATGCTGATCACTGGTATCATAGGCTGATTGTAGTATGCTCTGGGCGGTCATGGGGTTCGTAAGGTGATGTTTGGTTCATGGCCTTTCACAGTGGGGTCAGGAGGAAGAATTGTCTCTATGAGAGTTGTAAATGATTCTAAAATGCAATTGTTCTTCTAGTTAAATGGAGTCGACTAAGACTTAGCGGTCCTGTGTACAAGGAGAATGAAATCTGGATGGACAGCTCTTTCGTTCTCCCTCCTCCGACTCACCTTTCTCGAACCAGTTGCGTGATTCCCATGTTTGCCTGACACCACATGGGCCTCTGTTTCCCAGTGTTTATCCTTCCCTCTGTCTCCTCCCTCCTCCCCAGCTCTCCTATCCCAGATTCTCCTGAAATGTTTATCCCTTCTTCTTTGTGCAGTTGGCAGTTTTTCAGAGCACTTGGATCAGATAAATGGACGAAGCGAGTGTGTGGACAGTACAGATAATGCCTCAAAGCCCTCCAGTGAACCCGCTTCTCACATGGCTCGGCAGCGATTAGAAAGCACAGAGAAAAAGAAAATCTCGGGGAAAGTCACAAAGTCCCTTTCTGCCAGTGCTCTGTCCCTCATGATCCCAGGAGGTAGAGAGACATTGACTCGCATGAAATTGTGTGACTTGTGCATGTGCCCCCCCCCCCGCCCCCCCGTCCCCAGTGTGGCATGCTGGCTGCGATGCTTGACCCAGTCATGGGTGGTGCCCGGGCACAGCCCTCCTAAGTGACCCCCTGGAGGGCCTCCAGGGCTCCCAGAAGACAAACGTGACCTATTCCTTCACACTTCTTTCGGCAGCAGGAGATGAGGCAGGATCCCTTCCCACAAAGGCTTATTTCTTTTGTTTTCTTTCTTTTTCTTTTCTCCTCTCCCCAAGTTAAGTGATAAATTTCCCTCTTCTGAATAATTTTTCTTCCCTAGACCATGCATCATTTATATCCTTTACAGAGCTGTTTACAGCATCTGTGTCAGAAAGCTAAGTATAGTTTTTCTCATCTAATTAATGAGGAAATCAATACAGAGAACATACGTTTTTCATTTCTGGGGATGCAGAGAGTATCACAGACAGCACTGAAATTGCAAGTTTTGCCAGCCTTGTCTGTTGGGTTATGCTTCCTCCTACTGGTAGCCCAGTCATTTTCTTCCCTATATTTAAAAAACTGGGCTTAATTATGATTTTGTTGAATTGCAGCATTTTTCCACAACCTAGTTTTGCCTCTACTAATCACAAAGCCTGGTGTAATTTCACTGGCTGAGATGAAAATACACACCCTGGTGGTTGTGACTTATCACTCAGCTGACAGTAAAAGAATGGAAGTGGCAGTCAAATTATATTGCAGATGGCTTGCAGTTGGAAGAATACAAACCATGTATAAAAGGGATTGTTTACATTTTTGAAATTTCAAATTTGTGCAGAAAGAAATGTTCATTGAGGGGATAGTGCTCACTGTAGCATGTTCTGTTTTCTGGGAGATGTCCTTATAGCACCTTAAAACAAGCACCCTAGTCTGAATGACTATTCACAACCAGAAGGCACTGGCTCCAGTGTGGTCGGTAAGTGGAATGTGGTCCAGTCCACTTTGAGAGCTGGTAAGAAAGCCCACATCGTGGTGAACAGGGGTCAGTTATTGTTTGGGGAGATAAGGAAAGCTGTATTGAGGAAAAGAGTCAGGGGCATGGCTTTCTTAGCAGTTTGGATCTGTGTGTCCACTCTGTCTTCTTCCTACCTTTGCATGTTTTGAAGTTCCCTGCCCATCAGTGTGGATCTGTTCACCTGGCCTTTGGATGAGACAGAGGGTAGCCAGGACAAAAGTGTCAAGATGCCACATGAAGTCAGTGAAGGAGCCTGGACAGTGATACATTTAGCTAATTGTTCTCCTTTGGACAGATGTAAGATTCTTGCCTGGATAATCCCATGGACAGAGGAGCCTGGCAGACTGCAGTTCATGGGGTCGGAACCAGTCGGACACGACTGAGCACACACACATCCCAAGAATTACGACAGAAGATAGTCTGGATACTTTCAGCTTGCTGTGGCCACAGTGTTACTCACTGCACCCTGGGAGTCTTCAATAGCACTGGCCTTTTGTAGCCTGCCCCTTGCTGAGCTCATATTTAAACTACAGCATCGTTTTGCAGATGATTCTTTTTCATGCACAGCACACAGACAGGTGTGCGTGCACAATTTCATATGACCAGTTAGGATTTGTTTAGATTCACATAGATGAAACAGTGATAAGAACTATAAATAAAAAGTGTGTTTGTTCACAAAACAAGGAAAACAAGATAGAAATGGTGTTGAAGAATATGAAGTGAGTTTTTCTTAAAATTTCTCTATCCACCTGCATTATCCTCTCAGAAACCTTGCTAGAACCACAGGTAATACATGAAGACAGTCAGTCCTAATCACAGTAAAAGGAATGACTCTTTTATTGGAAAGTTAACATTACAGTGTTTTCCTGATTCAGATTATTCAGCCAGTAATCGTTCAATAATGTGGCTTCCCTGGTGGCTCAGTTGGTCAAGCTTTGATGACTGGCTTCTTTGTTGCAGATATGTTTGCTGTTTCTCCACTGGGAAGTCCGATGTCTCCCCATTCCCTGTCCTCGGACCCTTCTTCCTCAAGGGATTCCTCTCCCAGCCGAGATTCTTCAGGAGCTTCTGCCAGTCCGCACCAGCCCATTGTGATCCACAGTTTAGGGAAGAACTATGGTTTCACCATTCGAGCTATCCGGGTGTATGTGGGAGACAGCGACATTTACACAGTGCATCACATCGTTTGGGTAAGGCTGTCTTTCTGGCCAGTTTTCATTCCCAGCAAACTAGAGAATGAATACATCAGCTGAGGCATAGTTAACAGCAAATGAGTTTCCTGTTAAGCTGGCCTTTGGGGCCTGCATCATACTCTTGCCCTTTATCTGTGTGGTAGGACTGAATTTAGCAAAAGTTAATTCTTTTTAATAATTTTGTTAGTCTTCAAATCTGATTATCCACTCTTTATACCAAGCTTGTAGAAATAGTACAAAATAATCCTATTTTTATCCTTCTTTTCTTAGTTTTTTTTCCACCTGGCCTTCTTCTTTTCTAAAATACTTTCTTAGGTCACCTGAAATATTGCTTAAGGAACCATAGGAATTACCCTATTTTAGGAGGATGGCAGAACAAAAATAGTGAACCATATTTTACTGGTTTCCTCTTAGAATCACAGAATCATTTGTTGATGAACTCAGAATATTGTGCTGCAAAAGAACAGTAGGTGTCAGGATTGTCACTTGTTTGTTCACTAATATATCTTCTGCTGTTGAATTTTAGAATGTAGAAGAAGGAAGTCCAGCTTGCCAGGCAGGACTGAAGGCTGGGGATCTGATCACGCATATCAATGGAGAACCAGTGCATGGACTTGTCCACACAGAAGTTATAGAGCTCCTGCTAAAGGTACTGTCTTTTTGATGTCAGGGCCATCTAGATGAAGCAGGTAGCCAGAAAGAACTAGCACCAAAAGTTCTTTACTCAAGTTCTAGTGTTCTTCTATATGGGCTATTCATACACACTCCTTCTCTTTGCTGAGAAAACATTCGTTGGTCTGTTTAAGGTAAAGGCAAGAACATGAATTTTTTTGGTTTTGTATCATGAAATCCACTTCCATGTATCTGCACAGTCACTTCCTAATTTAATTTTGCTTCTTATCCTGAATTACAAATAGCGTTCTCTTTGTTTCATGTATCACACTTAGTAAAATCTGTTTGGAAATCATCCATCCTTGGTGCGATTTTCTTTAGCAACTTTCAGTACATTTTATTCTATTATGGCAGAAGACAGTGGTATTAAACTGTGAGGTCAGACCTGAAGCTTGATTCGAGAGTTGGGTTTCTTTGGAAGCTAGAGCTGCGAATATATAATATACACTATAAATGATAGAAATAGTTGGTAATGGAAGAAGGGATTCTAGCAATCATTAGACCTTTCCCTCCTGTACAAATAAATCTCAGTGTAGATCAGTCCCTACTTGGAATTAAGCTGATTCAAGCCAATGGAATAGGAAGATCACAAAGAGCATGTGTGTGATGAAGAGAGATGGTCTACACTCATTCTCTCATTTCTGTTGGGCAGTTTGCTTTGCCACTGCTAACTAAAGAATATAAAGTTATAGCTCCAAATATGGATCTGGTGAAAACAAAGATGAATCTGAGTCTTGAGTTTAAGTTTTTTCAAGGAAAAAATCCTATCTGTGATTAAAAAAAAAAATACAATCATTAATTGTAGGGTCGTTTTACATGTCAGCAGATTTATAGATGACCTCTCAGTATGTGAACACAGGGAGGGATTACTAGGGGCTTTCAGAGAGGTGTGAGCCATCGCCTCAGATAGCCTGCAGCCTATTGAGAAACAAAACATAAACACATGTGTGTCATTTAAACAACATCCACTCAGATTGTTTCTAGAGCACTTGCTAGGCAGGTGCCATGGTAGACACTGGTAACATGTCTAGACACGGTAGACATTGGAAATTAAGATACAGTTCTCACCTTGAGGACTGTGAGAGATATAGGAGATGTATGCAGGCAGATGAAGTTCAACCTGATTAGCCAGGGCCATAGCAGGGGGAAGAAATGCCATACTTTTGCAGAGAATATTCTATAGGGAGTCATCACAGAGAAGTTACACTGAACTGAAACTTGAAAGAAACTTGGGAATTTGGAATTAGTGCAGGTAGGTGGGTGTACAAAGCCTTTGATAAGTAAGTAAGCCTTTGATAAATGACTTTCATCCTTCTTTTTGTCAGCCCCCAGCCAACACAAGTGTATTCTTCAAAAGATTCAGGGTCTGGCACAGATTCCGAGAGTAGTAATAGTATGTAGATTCAAAGGTCCGTTGTGAAGTAGCAGATTGTAGGGAAGTTATTGCCATTGATCAGTCCACAGCATTAATGAAATTTTGGTCTTGACTTCAGGCCCCATGGGAGTAGGTGAGTGTCTTTGCTATCCTCCGTATCTACGGGTGGTCCCCTTAACTCTATAGTCAACTTTCTCACAAATGCATAGTACTGCTCACTGGAGGAGTAGGATGAATATTGAGAGGACGTTGCAGAGCCATAGGCAGTATGGGAAGCCAGCCGTGGCCGTGCCGAAAACACGGCAGGTCTGACGGCAGCCCTGCGGGAGAGACATGGAGGTGCTATTAAAGCTCCGCACGTCACCCCCGTGTTCACACACTGCCTGCTTTGCAGCCGGGTACTCAGACAATGTGAATAGTCGGGTTCTCCCTCGCCTGCTGTCCAGAAGTCACCATGGAGGAGCCAGGCACCATACCGCCACTTGTGTTACGCCTTCATGTACACGCTATTCCGTCTGGGAGCGAAACCCTGAGGTGGCTGGGGTCTCTGCACGTCGCAGCATGCCTCCAGAGGAGTGCACGTGTGCTTAGTCGCCCAGTCGTGTCCGACTCTTTGCAACCCTTTGGACTATAGCCCACCAGGCTCCTCCAGCCATGGGATTTTTCAGGCAAGAATTCTGGAGCGGGTTGCCATTTCAAAACAGGTAGCATTTCTGGCACCTACATGGGTAAGACTTGAGTTTTTTTTCATTTCATTCACCATCTCTGTTTCTGATAATATTACTTGTCCAACTGCCATGGAACAATTGTCTCCTAGTAAGTGCCCCCAAAATGGGAGGCAGAGCAGGATTGTGGACTTTTAGAGTGCTTGCCTGTGAGAGTCCCCTGAAATGACCTCAGACTTCCCAAGACAAAATTCAAGAAGAGATGAAAGATTTATGAGCCTGACCAGCCTCTTTTCTCATAGTACCTGATCCAGTGGTCCGGGGATACCCCATTGCTGGCTCACATCGGCCCTTTGTGGGTAAGGGCCCAGGCTCTGTCTATTCCAGCCTGTATATCTTTCCAGTGGTGTAGGGCCTACAAAGGTGGGCAGAGAGGTACTTCTCTCTCTCAAGTGCTCCTTGAGCTTTTCTAGGACCTCCCTTTTGTTTAGATAATAAAGCTATGTTTTATATGTAAGTTTCTTTTTGTTGTCACTCACCTGACTAGAAGTCTTCCAAGTTTTGGCATCAGCGGTTCAAAGATGGTCAGATGGATTTTAAATGGTAGTAGGTTTGACCTCTTCCGTTCTTTGTAGCAGTATTATGCTACATACATCTTAGGTCCTGGCACAGTATATCTTTATATTATTTCTTACATTTGCTCATAAAATCAGAAGAAGAAATAATAAGCTGAAATATATATATCTTTAGGAAATATGCCTTCTGTTTATTTTGCTGAGACATATTTGATCACTTTCATAATTTATTTTATAAAACATTTTCATATGATTCTGGATTTTAAAATGTCTCTTCCTGCTTCTGTGAAATTTGAATGTATGTTTCTCCTGATCATCTCTGGCAAGGTCTCTGAAAAGTCAGTCAATCCCATTTATAACATTTTGTCCTCATCTGCTTATGGAGTGTCTGCATTCCTGGATCTGGTTGACCTGTGTTCATGAAAGGCCATGAACATGCTGTAGTGGAGAGCTTTGGCATCTTCCTGGACCATGGCGTGCTGTCTCACATCTAAGCAGAGGATCCTGCCTCTGGCTCATAAAGGAAGTTCTCAAAAGAGCAACCCATGTAAGGAAACAGAGTGGATATAGGGGATTTAATTATCTTCCCAAGGAACTGTGTTATCATGCGTCTGTCTCCTAAGTGTGAATAGTGATTCTTGGACAGAGGATGAAGTGACTGGTACTAGTCCTGGACGCCCATGTGCCATCAGCGGCAGACCATCAGGGTAGTAGCTATATTCTGGTATTCTCACATACTGTCTATACGACGTTTCACACTTGCAAACTACTTCACAAAATCTCATGGTATCCTTAGAAAAAGGTGGAAGAGCCATCACATAGGGCTGTATATATTTTTAAAAATCCATGTACGATACTGGGCTTCCCTGATGGTTTGGATAGTAAAGAATCCAGTCTGCAGGGCAGGAGACCCCAGTTCAATCCCTGGGTGGCAAAGATCCCCTGGAGAACGGAAAGGCAACCCACCCCAGTATTCTTGCCTGGAGAATTCCATAGACAGAGGAGCCTGGTGGGCTGTAGTAAATGGGATCACAAAGAGACACAACTAAGCGACTAACACTGTGTGCAATACTTATTTATCTTTGGATTGTGAACACATTAAGCATATTCCCTGTGTCATGGCTTCACTTTTGGTCTCACTAACTCAGAACTTCACAGTGAGCCTGCTGTGAAAGCACTAACTTACGTGCACAGAGAAGCAAAGTCATAGTTACTCGGTTCAGTTCCCCATCGGCTTTGAACCCCTGAAAATGTGCTTCCTCAGTGTTGCCTCAAACCTCTCCTGCCACGGGGAGTTAATCACCTCCATCCAGATTACAAGTAGCTTCCTAAAAGAACTTTCCCCAGCACCGAACTCTCTCTCTCCCCACTGTGGTGGAGTGTGGAGACCACGTGGACCCAGTCGTACCCCTGCTCACATGACTGCCTGCCTAGTGGAGCCTCTCAAATGCAGGAAACCCCCTGTTCAGCCAGGTTGCTTTCTTAGGACAGCATTAGTGTAAATGCCCAGTCATAGGAGAAGTGCTAAAATAACCCTAGCCACTGCCTCAGTATTTCTTTTCCCTAAACTCTGGGGAACCTCTGGATACTAAAATGGGGGCTAAAAGAGCATCATTATTACCATTCTTACATATTAACTGGGTCCCCAGAATGTGCAAAGTTGTGCGAGGTACGGAAGGGTCACACAGCAGATGGCACATGTGAATAGTAGGTAGTCAGGAGCACTTTACATGAATAAACTCAGGTCATCTTCACAGCCTGTACACAGGTGCTATGCACGGAAATGTCCCCGTTTTACAGATGAAGAAATTAAAGCAAGGAGAAGTTAGCAAAGCAGCCAAGGTTCTGTGCTAGGACATAGCAGAAGATTTGCATACCAGCAGTGCTGCTCCAGAGCCTGAGCTTTCAACTAGCATACCCCCGTGCTCCGGCCATGAGGTCTGATGGCCAGAAACTTACAGCCCAGTGTTCGCAGGAGAAACAGTGGCGGTACTAGGCTGTAATCAGAGTGTCAAGCCAAAGGAATAGTCTGTAAATAGGGCCCAAGTGCTGAAGGAGAGAGAGCTTTCCACCACAGTGGACAGGCGGAGAGCTGGGGGTTTTCTGTGCAGGGCTGTGAAGGGTGGGTGGATGTTAGTGTAAGGGAAGGAGTGTGGGATGGTCTAGGCACAATAAAATGATGCTTTAAACCACAAGAACAGGAAGTTCAAAGTACTTGAGGTGCCTGAGTAAACCAGTGTGGCCGGAGCCTGAGTTCATGGCTTCTGGGATGCAGTATGCAAGATGACTAGGGCTGGATGGTGGAGAGTGTGAATGGGGCGAGGACACAGGTATGGGAAGAATGCACTCCCCTTGGGTATTTTGCAGAGGAAGAAATGTGAAAGCAGTGTAGCTCAGGGAGATACCCACGGCCACATGATAAACTAATGTGGAGTCAGACTGAGCAGAGGCTGGGTAGCCTGACCTCTGCTTTTGTATTCAGTTCAGCCAGCTTAAAATAATTTCCTCCCCACCATGCACTAATCACACAAGCAGTTTAAAGTAATGCTTAACTTAATAGAACATTTGACAGTCTTCCGGCCCCATTTTATTGTTGTTGTTTTTTGAAATAGTGCCACAGAATCTCTCTAATAAGAGATTGTTCCTTCTTCAAAAGAATTTGTTGAGGTCAAAGGACCCAGTAAAACAAATTGCCAGTTCTGGCAGCACTTGCTATAGCTGATGGATCCACCAGGTGGCAGGCTTCACAGTTCTCACCTATTCCCCATAAAATTATTTTTCAGTCATTTACTTACCATTTTTGTCATCATTAACTTTTTCAGCCAAATGTTTGCACTCTGCATTTTTTTCTGTCTGTATTTCCTCTTGGGGAGGTTATCTCTTTGTGTATTTCCATAAGTCAAGTGAACTGTCCCCTGAAACAGCCCACTGTTTAAAAATTTTATTTATATATTAATTGGTGGAAAATTGCTTTACAGTTTTGTATTGGTTTCTGCCGTACAACAATGTGAATAATCATACATGTATGCGTTCCCTCCTGAGCCTCCCTCCCCTCCCCCCACCCCACCTCTTTAGGTTATCACATCACAGGGTGCCAGGCTGGGCTTCCTGTGTCTTTAGCATCTTGCCCCTAAGTATTTTACACGTGATAGTCTATATATGTCAATGCTACTTGCAGAAAGGGACATTTGTACAAAGCTTAATGACACTCCAGCCATAACTTTTCTAATGAAAAATGTTAAGCATTTTCTTATATTCATCTCATGCAATATATATGATATTTTTCTATCTTTAAAATTGAACTGTATTAGAAGGGATGGCAGTGGTTCAGGCTCAGACAGCTCATGGGCTCCAGCAGCCCCAGGGGTGGCTGTGATTCTGTGTCCTCTCCGATATGATTTAGTAAAGGATGGAAAGAATCCCAAAGACGGATGAACCCCGTCATGTTTGCGGCCGCTTTCCTTCCCCTAAGGCATACAGGAAAAACCAAAACTTTAGGCTGGTCTCAGTCAAATTGTAAAGAACAAACCCCATTCCAAACAAATTTTGGTAGCCCTTTCATACTTAAAAGTGGAGTTTTCAGTTTAAAGAATAAACTGAATGCCAGTCTCTACTACCAGATAAAGGTTTACTTTGAAAGTTTTGGCATCTGCATATAAATATAAGACAAGTAAATTTATTTTTTCAGAATGAAAAACATTTGTTTCCCTTGTTCAAATTCAAATCCCATTTCCCTAAAATATTTTTTTTTTTACAGTCATGGCACTAAGTATGGGATTATATGTTCTTAAATATATAAAGAGCCCAAAAATCATTAATTTTCAGTTGATTATTGATTTTTAGATACAAAATTGGATGTAAGACATGAACAAATCATTATCTAAAGAAATAAAAACAATGAAAAATAAATGAGACAAAATCCAGCTTTGTTAATACCAAAAGAACAAAGATTAAAACTTGATGTAACTTTTTCCTATAAAATTGGTAATTTATTTCATATTAGTATTCAATTCTGACAGGTGTGTGCTAAGATGGGTGCTCATGTGCTGCTGGTAAGAGTTTAAATTGACATGAACTTTCTGGAAATTAGTGCATCAATGGGTACCAACAGTCTTTAAAAAGTTCAACTAGTCCCTACAGTTCACTGTATTGAGTCTAGTTGGATAATCTAAGGAAAATGTCAGAGATTAGGACACTAATTTATAGATGAAGATACTTATTTCAACTTTTACAAGAATTGGAAAATAGAAATAAAAGCTATAAGGAAATCGTTAAATTGTGATTTACCTATCTCATGGAATATTTTTAAATAGCCAGTAAAAATTATGTGAAGGAATATTCAGTGATAAAGTGCAAGTTTTTCAAAGTTGTGAAATGTGAGGTGAAAAAAAACTATTAAATTAAAATTACTTATAAAATATGTCTATATATATATATATGCATAATTTATACATGTTTAATAGAAGACCAGCAAGAAATATACAGAAATATTACCAGCATTAGCTGAGTGGTAGGCTTCTCAGTGATTTTTTAAAATATAAATATACATTATTGTTTTCTTCTAATAATGGCATGTATTACTTTCCAAGTTGGGTGGAGAAGTGGATGTTGATATTTGAACAGTCTGTTTTTTCAGTCCCCTGCCTGACTGTACTCAACTCACCGTCTCTTAACATCACTTAGATCTGAGTTGCTAGGCATCTTCCAGGCATAGGCCTTTTAAAAGGCCCTTCTGTGTATACTTCTTGTCTTTTTAAGGTAATCAGGACCATCTGTGACTTTGAAAGGATATGATTCTCCCTTGGTTATTAAGAAAGTCAAGAAGAGATCATTGAGACTGAAGTGAAGGGGGAGGGTTCTGCCCACCTGTCCAGGGCACCCCTCACCCTGGCCTCTGACCCTGCTCTCAAATCTCAAATCCATCCCTTGGGCCTGTCCAGCAAGCCCCAGTCCCAGGTTCAAGTCGAGGGGCTCAGAAAGCCCCAGGAATGACCTTACCACTCCTGACCTGACAAAGCAGAGGCTGTCTTACACCTGCTGGCATAAACTTTCCAGCTCTGCTGGGCTGACAGGTTTTCTGGTGGTAGAAAAGAAAACTTTAAAAATAATTAAAGAAAAAGTCTCATTCAGTTGTGCTGCTTTATGATTTCTAGGTCAAAGGAAAAACACAAAAAGGAGAGAGAAGAAAAATAAATCAACCAGGAGCAAGCGTCTCTGGGCACGTTTACTCTTAATACATATGCATGAGCGTAACTGTTATTTATAGAGCCCTTTCCATGTGCCACTCTGGGTGCTAACGGCTTTACACACTCTATCCCCTTGATCCTCAGATGAGCCCTGGGAGACAGGTGTGATTCCGCTGCAAGACGGTCCAGAGGAAAACAAGTGCTCAGGTCACAGGCTCAGATTTAAACTCGGCTCTGCTGGGCTTCCCAGGTGGCTCAGTGGTAAAGAATCCACTGGCCAATGCAGGAAACGCAAGAGATGCAGGTTCAGTCCCTAGGTCAGGAAGAACTCCTGGAGTAGGAAATTGCAACCCACTTCAGTGTTCTTGCCTGGAAAGTTCCATGGACAGAGGAGCCTGGAGAGCAGCAGTTCATGGGGTTGCGAGGAGTTGGATGCAGCTGAGTACAACAATGACCGTGGAATCCACATCCCACCACCTTAAGGAAACCTCACTTTTTTTTTTCCCACCCAGTTTATCAGGACTTCACTACCTGAAGGGTCATTGACACTTGGTCATGTCCGTCCTTTTGGATGTTTATTTGTCTTTGGATCTCCTATATCTTTTCTGGTCTTGTTTCATCACAGCATTTCCCTTTAATACCACCTCATTTTTTTTTTTATAGAGTGGAAATAAGGTGTCAATCACAACCACCCCATTTGAAAACACATCAATCAAAACGGGACCAGCCAGGAGAAACAGCTATAAGAGCCGGATGGTGAGGCGGAGCAAGAAATCTAAGAAGAAGGAAAGTCTAGAAAGGTGAGTTAGAGCTGTCCTCCTCGTGGGTTTGGTGTGTTCCCATACTGAAGGAAAGTTACTCCTCACTTAATTTAAATGCTTGCATGTGAGGAAGATCTATTTCTCTGCAGAAATGTTGCCCTGTGGTTCAAATGTATTTATACACCAGAGTTTGTATTCATTCATAACATTATTATGTTTCATAATGAAAAGATTTATGTTGTTACACTGTAGAATTTAGATTACTTTTTCTCATGTGTGAGAACCATGAAAAGCTCTGCTTTTTCTTAAGTTTCCAGACTTCATTTCAGTTGGACTTGCGGAACTAAAACTTTTTAAGGTAGCTTTTAGCATTAAACTTATATTTAATAATGTCCATCTAAAAACACCAGGGAAGCCTTGGTAGCTCAGTGGTAAAGAATCTACCTGCAATGCAGGAGATGCGGGTTTGATCCCTGGGTTGGGAAGATCCCCTGGTGGAGGGCAGGGCAACCCACTCCAGTTGGATTGCCTGGAGAATCCCATGAACAGAGGAACCTGGCGGGCTACAGTCCATAGAGTCGGGAAAGAGTCAGACATGACTTAGCAACTAAACAATAGTAATAATAAATAATACAAAAACATGTAGTTGCTATTTTTGAATGCCAGATATTCTAAGATAACTAGATCTTCAAAGCATCCAAATAAGCCTAGAAATAAAAAGACTTTGTTTTACTGCCTGAAAGTCTGTTACACATTTGCACTGTGAAAGGCACCATTAGTATCACTTAGTCCCCTGTGCAGACACTGGTGAGGGGTGTGTCTGTGTGTGTGTGTGTATGTGTGTGTGTGTGTGGTGGGGATGTTTCTTCCAAACAATTGTCTAGATGTGCTCCCTGCATGATGCAACAGCCTCTTGGGTCTACCCACTTGAATTTGGTGTGTTGGATCACATTATAAGGATTTTAATGCTAGAAAAGAAAAATATGCAAATGAAAAAAGCAATGATTATTAACTCCAGGAAAGACAAATTTGTACAAGAGAGGAAAATAGAATTATGCTTTTCATGGCCAAACTATGAACAGTGTTTATTGTGTAAAATAAAGTGTCACCCTTTTTTTCCTAACCAAAAAATTTTGTTTAGCTCAATTGGGAGGAAGTGTGTTTGGTTATAAGGGGGAATATGTTGTTATAAGGGCTAAATTTTCATCTTCTGTGGTGGGAAATCAACAGATAATTTCTAGAATTGAAAAACTGAAAAAACAACATAAGCACATTACTTGGCAATTTGCATACAGCTAAAAGCATAGAAAGAGTTTCTCTGGGAGTTGGGGAAAAGGCAGAATAGAGCTATTTTTCATTATAAGCTTATAAAACTATTTAACTTTTTGACCCAGGTACATTTATTACTGTGATTAAAAGTACACATACACACACACACACATACATTGATATCCTTTTTTTTTTAATGTGAGCTTTACATATATATATATATTTTTTTTAATGTGAGCTTTATATTTTGAGTGTGTGTTGGGTCGTATAGAACACACTGCTTCAAGGGATAGTAGAGTGGAAAATGTGTGACTCAGCCCCTGGAGGTGAAGGAACCCTATACAGCCACCTGCTTTTCAAGCCACCTGAAGCTGTGCTTTTAACTTGAAGACGTGCTTGTTGGCACTCACTACGCATTTGCCCTCTGCTGAAGCGTGGTGTCTGCTGCCCTGCTGACATAATAAAGCTTCAGTTCACCTCCCTCAGTTTTTCTGTGTAAATGTACAGCCTCCAGTGTTCATAGGAATATTCAGGAATTCACGATGGGATAAGCACAGCAAACAGCCCCTCAGAGATGAAAGCCTCTATCCAGTAGATCACCATTAAAGAATTCAATATTCCAAATGACAGTTTTTCTTCCAGGGATTTACTTTGTATTGTCTCTTAATTTAATTGTGTCAGTGTGTTGGAGCTATATACTTGGAAGCTTTCAGGCAAAAAACAGTATCCTCAAAAACCTGACATACAAATAAATGAATATGCATTTATCCTTAGTCACTCAGTCACGTCCAGCTCTTTGCATCCCCATGGACTGTAGCCTGCAAGGCTCCTCTGTGCCTGAAATTTTCCAGGCAAGAAGACTGGAGTGGGTTGCCATTTTCTTCTCGGGATCTTCCTGACCCTGGGTCTCCTGCATTGCAGGCGGATTCTGAGTCACCAGATATATTTTTCCTATTTTTCACAACTTTTCTTAAAGTGCTTGAAGTTAAGAGGGTTTCCATTGTGTATTCTCCAAGCCTCGTCCTTTCTGAGTCATGGGAAAGTTTTGAAGGTAAAAGTGGAATCCTTCTCTTTGAGAGGACCTGCGATCATGTCACCATCTCTGGGTATACTGAATCAGTGCACTGGTGCTTTGGGGGAGGAGGAGTGGTTTTGAATGTAGAATCTGATCCGTTTTCTCCTGTTTTCACTCTAGGAGGAGATCCCTTTTCAAAAAACTAGCCAAGCAGCCTTCTCCTTTACTCCACACCAGCCGAAGTTTCTCCTGCTTGAACCGATCCCTGTCATCAGGGGAGAGCCTCCCAGGGTCCCCCACTCACAGCTTGTCTCCCCGATCCCCTACACCCAGCTACCGTTCCACCCCCGACTTCCCATCCGGTGAGTGAACCTCCTCTCCTAGCAAGAGTTGAGGGGTCACCAGCAGAGATCCTGGAAGACAAGCTTATTCCAGCTTAGAGAGAGAAGGTGGGGATGTAATTGACAAGAGAACAGGATTGACAAGAAGGTCAGAAGATACAGCAATTCGGTCCCTTAGAAAAGACAGGAAGTACTGGATTGCCCTTTGGGGAGGTTTATCTGAAAGGCCTTATTCACTAGACTGAGATGCTGAGACAATTGGCTGCCCTTATCTAAAACAGCCAGGGTCTGAAAGCCTGGAAAGAAAGGGGAAGGTGGTTCTTGCTCACAGTGTCCCATTTCCCACCCACAGGTACTAACTCCTCCCAGAGCAGCTCCCCAAGCTCCAGTGCCCCCAACTCCCCGGCGGGGTCTGGACACATCCGGCCCAGCACGCTCCATGGTCTGGCCCCCAAACTCAGCGGGCAGCGCTACCGGTCAGGAAGGCGGAAATCAGCCGGCAGCATCCCCCTGTCTCCACTGGCCCGGACACCCTCTCCGACCCCACAGCCCACCTCCCCGCAGCGGTCCCCATCCCCTCTGCTGGGGCACTCACTTGGCAATTCCAAGATGGCCCAAGCCTTTCCCAGCAAAATGCACTCCCCACCCACCATCGTCAGGCACGTCGTGAGGCCCAAGAGTGCGGAACCCCCTCGGTCCCCACTGCTCAAGCGCGTGCAGTCGGAGGAGAAGCTCTCTCCCTCCTATGGAGGCGACAAGAAGCACCTGTGCTCCCGCAAGCATAGCCTGGAGGTCACCCAGGAGGAGGTGCCGCGGGAGCAGCAACAGCGGGAGGTGACCTTGCAGAGCCTGGAGGAGAACGTGTGCGATGCGCCTGCCCTCAGCCGGGCCAGGCCCGTGGAGCAAGGCTGCCTGAAACGCCCCGTGTCCCGGAAGCTGGGCCGCCAGGAGTCTGTGGACGAGCTAGACCGAGAGAAGCTGAAGGCCAAGGTGGTGGTGAAGAAACCTGAAGGGCTCTCGGAAAAACAGGAATCCCGCCCGAAGCCCCACGGACTCAGCAGTGACTTGGAAAACCTCTGCGCTTTTAGGCTCGAAGAGAGAGAGAAGAAAATCTATCCGAAAGCTTCAGAGAGGTCAAATCATTTAGAGAGCAAAGCAGCCGGGCAGGAGGCGCAGCCCCTATGCAGCCTTTTGAAAGACGCCCTCCACAAGCAGGCCAGCGTGCGGGCCAGCGAGGGTGTCGCCTCTGAGGGCGCGCCGGCGGCTGGGGACCACGGCCAGGGCACCTGTGACCTCAAACGAGCCTCGACTCACAGCACCCTCCCGGACGGCCTCTGTCACGCCCCCCACAGGTCCACCTCTGGGAAGGCGGACACCGCGGAGAAGGCCCCCCAGGCCAAGGAGGGTCTGCGGTGTGAGAAGTTAGACAGCAAGTTGGCCAACATCGATTACCTCCGGAAGAAGATGTCCCTCGAAGACAAAGACGAGAGCCCCTGCTCTGTGCTCAAGCCCAAGGTGACTTCCGGTGTCCAGGAGGGCCTGCCTGGGAGCCTGGGCCGGACCGTGGGAGGGCAGCAGGAGACCCCGCCAGCCCCCGAGGGCCGCACGCCGTTCATCGGCAGCGCCCACGCGGCTCAGCTCAGCGCCGTCGCCTTCGTCCCTCTCAAGGCCCTTTCTGGTCGGGTGGACAGTGGAGTGGAGAAGCCGGGCTTGGCTGCGCCGGAGTCGCCTGCCCGGAAAAGCCCCTCCGAGTATAAGCTGGAAGGGAGGTCTGTGTCATGCCTGAAGCCCATTGAAGGCACCTTGGACATTGCTCTCTTGTCGGGACCGCAGGCCTCCAAGACAGAGCTGCCTTCCCCGGAGCCTGCCCAGAGCCCCAGCCCGGGCAGTGATGCGGGGTCCCCCATGCCCCTGGCTCTCCCCAGCAGCACAGGGAGAAAGACTGACCCTGCGGGTCAGAGAGAGCCCTCCCCCGCCAGCTTCAAGGTGAACAAAGCCTACCTGCTCGAGCCTCGGTTCCCGCCGTCCAGCCGGGGTCTGCAGAGTTCACCGGTGGCTGCCCTGCCTGATCCAGAGCTGAAGCTGGACAAGAAGGTCTCCCAGGCAGCGCGCGCCCCAGCGACCATCATGGAGAGCCATCCCCAGCGGGGAGAGGGCCACCCCAGCCAGCACCAAGACCGCAGCCCCGACGTTAAACTCCTTCCCTTCCCGGGGCAGAACCTCCAAGGTGCCAACGCATCTCGATCCCGCAGCCCACTCTCTCCTGAAAGTGTCCCCCCCAGGGAGAAGCCTAGTGGGAGGGAGTTGTCCGAAAGGGGCCCTTCCGTAGTCAAGAGCGAGCGGTCAGCCACAAGGCCCGACCTCCGCAAAGAGCCCTCCAAGGAGCTGTGTCCCCCAGAAGCTGCTAAACGCAGCGACAGCTCCCAAACCCTCCCTGTGCTGGGGAGGACCCGCCCGGATGTCTCCACCCAGACCCAGGCCTTGGAGAAAGTGTGCGGGCCTTGCGGGAGAGCAAACCCCAGAGACGGCCAAGAGGAGGCGAGGTTGCTGGCCAGAGAGGACTCTTTGCGCTCTGCGGGGGCTCCTTGTGAGAGATATCTGGGCGCAGAGAGCGGCCTGGAATCCAGGATGGAACCCACTTCTACCAGGTGGTGTCTGGAGCCACCCAGGACGGAGAGTGAGAAGAGTGAAAGGCCTTCTGGTTTCCAGTCTGTGCAGAAAGACGGTCCCAAGGAACCAGAAAGGAAAGAACAGCCCCTGCAAAAGCACGTCACCAGTGGTTCTCAGCCCATTCCCAAGGAACTAGAACGGAAAGAACCGTGTTTGCAGAAGCACCTCACCAGTAGTTCTCAGCCAGGTCCCAAAGAACTGGAAAGGAAAGAACAGCTCCCACAAAAGCACCTTACCAGTAGTTCTCAGATGGGTCCCAAGGAACCAGAAATCAAAGAACAGCCTCTGCAAAAGCACCTCACCAGTAACTCTCAGCTGAGTCCCAGAGAACCAGGAATGAAAGAACAGCCTCTGCAAAAGCACCTCACCAGTAACTCTCAGCTGAGTCCCAGAGAACCAGGAATGAAAGAACAGCCTCTGCAGAAGCACCTCACCAGTAACTCTCAGCTGGGTCCCAGGGAACCAGAAATGAAAGAACAGCCCATGCAAAAGCACCTCACCAGTAGTTCTCAGCCAGGTCCCAAGGAACCGGAAAGGAAAGAACAGCCCCCACAAAAGCATGTCACCAGTAGTTCTCAGCTGGGTCCCAAGGAACCAGAAAGGAAAGAACAGTGTTTGCAGAAGCACCTCACCAGTAGTTCTCAGCCGGGTCTCAAGGAACGGGAAAGCAAAGAACAACCTCCACAAAAGCATGTCACCAGTAGCTCTCAGCTGAGTCCCAGGGAACCAGAAATGAAAGAACAGCCTCTGCAAAAGCACCTCACCAGTAACTCTCAGCTGAGTCCCAGAGAACCAGAAATGAAAGAACAGCCTCTGCAAAAGCACCTCACCAGTAACTCTCAGCTGAGTCCCAGAGAACCAGGAATGAAAGAACAGCCTCTGCAAAAGCACCTCACCAGTAACTCTCAGCTGAGTCCCAGAGAACCAGAAATGAAAGAACAGCCTCTGCAAAAGCACCTCACCAGTAACTCTCAGCTGAGTCCCAGAGAACCAGGAATGAAAGAACAGCCTCTGCAAAAGCACCTCACCAGTAACTCTCAGCTGAGTCCCAGAGAACCAGGAATGAAAGAACAGCCTCTGCAGAAGCACCTCACCAGTAACTCTCAGCTGGGTCCCAGGGAACCAGAAATGAAAGAACAGCCTCTGCAAAAGCACCTCACCAGTAGTTCTCAGCTGGGTCCCAAGGAACCAGAAATGAAAGAACCGTGTTTGCAGAAGCACCTCACCAGTAGTTCTCAGCCGGGTCTCAAGGAACGGGAAAGCAAAGAACAACCTCCACAAAAGCATGTCACCAGTAGCTCTCAGCTGAGTCCCAGGGAACCAGAAATGAAAGAACAGCCTCTGCAAAAGCACCTCACCAGTAGTTTTCAGGTGGGTCCCAAGGAACCGGAAAGGAAAGAACAGCCCCCACAAAAGCACCTCACCAGTAACTCTCAGCTGGGTCCCAAGGAACTAGAACGGAAAGAACAGTGTTTGCAGAAGCACCTTACCAGTAGTTCTCAGCCAGGTCCCAAAGAACTGGAAAGGAAAGAACAGCTCCCACAAAAGCACCTTACCAGTAGTTCTCAGATGGGTCCCAAGGAACCAGAAAACAAAGAACAGCCTCTGCAAAAGCACCTCACCAGTAACTCTCAGCTGAGTCCCAGAGAACCAGGAATGAAAGAACAGCCTCTGCAGAAGCACCTCACCAGTAACTCTCAGCTGGGTCCCAGGGAACCAGAAATGAAAGAACAGCCCATGCAAAAGCACCTCACCAGTAGTTCTCAGCCAGGTCCCAAGGAACCGGAAAGGAAAGAACAGCCCCCACAAAAGCATGTCACCAGTAGTTCTCAGCTGGGTCCCAAGGAACTAGAAAGGAAAGAACAGTGTTTGCAGAAGCACCTCACCAGTAGTTCTCAGGTGGGTCCCAAGGAACCAGAAAGGAAAGAACAGTGTTTGCAGAAGCACCTCACCAGTAGTTTTCAGGTGGGTCCCAAGGAACCGGAAAGGAAAGAACAGCCCCCACAAAAGCATGTCACCAGGAGTTCTCAGCTGGGTCCCAAGGAACCAGAAAGGAAAGAACAGTGTTTGCAGAAGCACCTCACCAGTAGTTCTCAGCCGGGTCCCCAGGAACTGGAAAGGAAAGAACAACCTCCACAAAAGCATGTCACCAGTAGCTCTCAGCTGGGTCCCAGGGAACTAGAATGGAAAGAACAGCCCCCACAAAAGCACCTCACCAGTAGCTGTCAGCCCCCACCCCCCACCAAAGAGCTCCCTGGCCTGGCTTGTCAGCACTACATCCTGCCCGGCCACCCCGCTGCCTCTCTGCCGGGGAGCAAGCCCTGTGCTACAGACTCCAGCTTCCAGGACGCTCTCAGGCCTGCTGCTCTGCACGGTGACAGCAGCAGCCAGAAGCCCAGGTCTGACCCCAGCCTGGGCCCTCCAAAGTCTAAGTTCCCAGACTGGCCCCTCTCCTCCCAGAAGCCGGGCGCCGAGGCTGCAGTGAGCAAAGAGCCTGGCGCTCAGACCCTCGGCAGAGTGGGGGTGGGGAGCGGTAAGGGTGCGTCAGAGGAGTTCCCTGTCCTCCCAGGTCCCCAGGAGACAGCCCGTGAAGTGACTGGCCAGGGAGCCAGTGGGCGCTCAGTCCCCCTGCCCACGGAAGGGGGTCCTCGGGACACAAAGCTGAGACCCACCAGCGCTGGGTGTCCCCCAGAGGCACTGGAGATGCGAGGACTCCTCGGGGCCAGTGAGTCAGTGGACCAGAAACTTCCCACCGTCAGGGAAAGGCAAAACCTGTCTCCAAAGGCCCCCACACCATCCACTGTGAAAGATTGTCCCCCTCTGTGCAAACAGACAGACAGGAGCCCGAGTCCGCTGGCCACCAGCGCCGACGCCGGCAAGTCTGAAGGGAAGAAACGCACTGAAGCACTTTACACCCCTGCGGATGGTGAGAAGCCGGGTGCCGGCTTGACCTCAGTGCACAGTGAGGCTGGGCCCAAGGGTGCGGAGAAGCCGGCAGCAGCCGCTGGGAAGGGCTGGCTGGAGGCCAAGGGGCAAGGGCCCAGTCCCCAGAGGCCACTGAGCGAGGCGACCAAGCCCAGCGGCATGAAGCAGTCACCCTCAGCCACAGTGCAGGGTTCTCTCTGCTGTGCCACCCTCCCAGAGAAGTCTCTGAGCTACTCCTGTGGCTTTCCCGAGGCCAGACCAGCAGTTCCAGAGACTTCTACCACCTCCAGCGACGCCTCCTCTGCCAAGGCCAGCGAGCCTGCAGCAGAACCCCCAGCCTCGAGCAGCAGGGACCAGCGGAAAGCCCTGCCTGGTGAGGGCGGCAGAACCCAAATGACCAAGAGCGACTCCTTGCCATCCTTCCGCAGCTCAGCTATCACTCTGGAGTCCCAGCACCCCAACCCTGGCCTGGTGGCGGGCACCAGCCACCGGGACAGGGCCCTCTCAGTAACCGCCGCCGTGGGAGAAGCCAAAGGGAAAGAGCCAGCCCCCACCCCGCCAGCTCAGACCAGGAACCAGAGTGTGGGCAGAGAGGCGGCCAAGCCGTCCCCCGCTCCAAGCACTGAGCGCCCCGCCGTTCTCCCTTCTGAGAAGGACACTGGGCTGCGACAGAGGCGGGGGAAAGAGAGTTTGCGCGGCAGCCCCCACAAAAAGGCCTTGTGATGGGGCAGGCCCGGGCGGTACTGGGGAAACCCACCCTGCGTGTGTAACTGTGTCTTGACTACCTTGGAAACCAGCATTGTGGGACACCACCCCCCCACCCCCCTGCTATCGGCAGAGCCTGGAGCCTCACTGAAGAAGCTAGGAGACAAGAGACAGAGAAAGAGGGGACCTTCTTCCAAATGCCTTCCCAAATTGGAACCGGTAAACTGTTACCAGATAGTGTTTGTACAAAATAAAACAACAAAAAATTCTTTCTGGTTGAGGTTGAGGGTTGTTGAGGGAAAAGACTTTCTCTGTAAATATCTAGCAATGTGTTTGGATTGGGATGTAGAGTCGATACCTTGCTGATGGCATCATTTACTACAACTTTTGGGGTTTTTTTAGTAGGATGTTTGCTCTACCATTGATCACGATGCAGTCATGAAGCAAAATGGCTAAAACAGGGTGCTTGTTAAAATATAGATGCACCCTTGTTTGTGTATATACACATCCACCCACGTGTTTTGGTCTGTGGTTGAAGAGACTCTTGCAAGGCTACATTTTTTTTTCTAAGCTAAAACATTCTGAGTAGAGTTGATGGTGAAGGCAAGCCTGAAATACACTAGATTGTGAGTTTGTATGTGTATTTTTAACCAGAAGTTTTGATAGCACTATATCTGGCTACCTATCTTTCCAGATCTAAAGCAAGAATGACTAGAATCACTGCATCTGGAATGCTCCTCCATCAGGAATGGTCACAACAGATGGAGCTAGCCATTTTCATTTCACTAATGGCCATTTTGATCCTGGGCCCAACTGTCTCAGAGGCCAGTCGTCCTTGTCTGTGGGTGTGTGTCAACTCTTCACCGTAGGTAGATCGAGGGCTATAAACACACGTTGATTTTTATTTCTGCTCTGGTTTCCCTCCTTCCCATGCTCTTAAATAAACTCAGGCCTTTATGCTATGAGTCGCTAGTCCAAGAAGCACACATTTTGTAGTAGTTCTGCGCCTGCCCTGCTGTTGAGCAAAAAAGAAAATAACTGGCCGCACACAAATCTGCTTGTATTTAGGTTGATTAATAAGCACTAGGCATTGGAAGAGGTTTTCACTTTGCTTTTTTGAGGAAAAGTGGAGGGGGTATGGATTTTGGCATCATAGCATATATTTTAAGGAATAATCAGGACATCAGATACATTTTAATACATAGCTGGGGCCTTATGTTGTAGATGAAGCTTGCTGTTTTTAGCAAGTTCCTGGGTTTCACATTCATTTCTGGTGCATCAGGTAGCTCCATACATTTCATAACATGGTCTCTTTATTTGTATGCAAAAAAAAAAAAAAATACTATATTAATAAAGAGCAGCATTTTTGTAACAAAAAGACTTGTTGGAGCTATTTGGTGCTTGAATGTGACTGTCCTTTTTACTTTTGCTAAGCCTTATTTAAATTTTGTATACCATGGAATATGTAGGATTTGTCCAATCACTTTAGTGCTGAGGGGGTCTTCGTGTTTTTTTGTTGCAGTTTTCCTGGTGGCTTGTTTTGTGTTATGAGACGGCACTTGCTGACATAAGTACTAAGGCACTAAGAGAAAATACACACAGCTAAGTATTTATAAGATGCTTGGGATCCATAGCAGGATTTTTGTTTTGTTTTATAAGAGAAAAAAATCACCAGTAAATACTAGTCCAGCACCCAATCCCCCTCCCCCGCAGGGATGTCTTCGTATCTTCAGGCTATGAAATTGTTCACCTAAGCACAGCATCATCTTACATCCCTGTGGATTGTAAATCATTTAGTGAGGCTGTAAACTCCACTCCAAAAACAAAGGCATAACTTAACCAATTGCTTGGTTGTCCTTCATTGTAAAATGAGTTGACAGTGGTGAAAAAACTCTCTTCCTTGCCCCTGATTTTTTTTTCCCATGAGATTTTAGCCGTTTCCCATCACCAAGTTGTGAATTGTAGAAGAAACAAATATTTTGAAAGAACTTAAATGGGTTTGAAAAATGGTCTCAACATTTATAATTCGTACCTGCATTCGGCGGCTGTCATAACCCAACCCTTCTGCACCCAGACATCTGGACAGGTCTGTTGGGGAGGTAATGTATGGTTTACAGCCTTTGCTTTTTAACTGTCCAGTTTTCTTTAAAGCACAACTAGCTGCTTGTTTACAAATGATATTTTAAAATGTATATTTTGTATAGCGTATTATCATTTTTGCCAAATATGTTTTTGATTTTGGATGGCTACAGAGTCCCTAAGATTGCATTCGTGTAGTAACTGTTCGTTGTTGTAAACCTCTCCAGTCAGATGGTAGAAATCCTCCTGTGTTATGTTTGGTTGGTCTCCTGTGATTGTACGGTGTGCTCCTCGCTAGTACTCCCAGCTGTAGATTTACCAGCTTAAAGTTTGTTAGGATCTGTGCAATAAAGTGTTTGCAGTCTTATTTTCTCTAAGAAATTCCCTATGGATGTCATAATTGTTGTATATTGAACAAATATTTATACTTATGCAGTTGCATAACATTGAAATAAAAATTTAGCATGAAAAGATAATGGCTATTAAGTTCCCCCCGCCCCCGCCCCATCCACACACATGCATAGCATCTCCAAAACATGACTGAATAGAACTCTGTTGTGGAAAGGGTGGTTTTCTGCAGACCCTTTTGGTGAGTGTAAGGCAGAAAGGTTTGCTAATTTCTTTTAAACTGAAACAGTGTTCCTTTCTTCAAGACTGTCTGCCTTTAATTAGACTCCACTCCTACTTCATTTCTCCCAAAGCTTTGTTCGATCAGTTACCACTGTGTTCTCTCACCTTTCTTTTCCTTCCATCCGATCTCCTCCCTAAAAATTAAAAACCAATAAGACATCAGGATGGAAGGAAGCAACCTTTACATTTATTGTCTGCCTATTCTGCATGTACACTTAGTGCTGGGCAACATGAATTTTATCTGCCATCTTATTTGAGCCCCAAAACCAGCCTCAAACTAGATGGTGATGACATCCCCGTTTTACTGAGCAGACAGGCCCGGACAGGCTGTGTGGTTTGCTCAACACACACCCTATAAAGATAGCTTACTTTAGGATGTGGATTTTTCTGGTTCTAAAGCTCTTGACCTTTCTAAACGTTACCAGGTATCTTGCACTTGAATTCAGATCCAGGCCCCTCTGAATGATCTAAGCCACCTCATTTTCTCTTTTTAAGTTTATATGCAGAAAAATCATATTATGCAAAATTACAAACTTGATGATCAGTGGGAAGCCATGAGCCAAGGAAGCTAATCGTTCTCTGTAATAGGGGTCCTTTATTAGTTGTAATTAATCAGTAGGCAATTTCCCTTCTAGATTTTTGGTTCACAACACAAATGTTACATGAAAAAATGTAGCTCTATTAACTGTGGAAATTTGCTTGCTTCAGTATAGGCTGGACATTAAGCAACTCAATGGTAGGGCAGTTCACTCGATTTAATTTCCTTCCTACCAGTATGTTCTTAACACTTTCCTCAATGTCATCATTTTGTGTATTCCTCTCTTTCTACCTCCTACCCCAGTTAGTAATGTATGCATCTCATATATCTAAGAAAGCTGGAAAATCACCACAGCTTTGTTGAACTTTGGTTTCACTACTTTTTTTTATACTGAAAGTCAATCATTTGGCCCAGGTTCAGGTTCTCTGGCAGTTCAGACACCATAGACTCTGGACTGGAGGCTTTAGCGCCAGCATCTCATAAATTGCTGGGACCATGCATTCCGAAAGATGAGATCGACACTTCGTAACGTCAGAGGCTGTGATGGGGCTGTCAGTCCCAATACTTGGATGCAGGCAAATACTCCCCAAAAGGGCTCTGTTCCCAAGACCGAAGTTCCCTGTATGTTTTCTGACATGCCACCGAGTCTGTTCAGATGTAGGGGGAAAGGAAGAAGATCCATTGCAGATGGTTTCTAGGAACTGCCCCACAGAGCTTTACAAAAAGGCTCTTAATATTATAAAGCTGAAAGCATCTCCCAAAGTCATTGGCTGTTTCACTGAAGCACTGAAGAGACGGCTGTCAGAACCTAGAGGTGAAGAAAGGAGCTGTTTGCAAGGCCTAAAGCAGGCATGTTGCCACTACCCGGCCTTCACATGTCAGCTGGCATCGCCATCTCCTCCAGCCATAGCCTGTCTAAATAGATATCCTTTGCCTGAAAGTTCTGTCTCTTTGGAATACAAACATTGTGAAACAGTGTTGTGCTGAAGTGGCTTTCAGCAGCTGCAGGCAGACTCACTCTGGTGGGGGACTGAAGGCAGTTCCTGTGGACGGTCTCCCGTGTCTGTCAGCTCAGGGCCGCCCGGTAAGATGACTCTCAGCCTCTTGGCTGCTGCCCCTTCCCAGAGGGATCCTTGGGATACCCAGGGCTCCTTCTGTTCTCAAGGGAAAGCAAAGAGCAATCCAGGAAGCTTGGGCTTAAGCATTTACCTTTGAAACTGCAAAGCTTTAGAAAAATTCCACCTCCTTTTTCAGTACTGGAAATTCTCACCATTTCTTTATTCTTGCGCTGTTGTGAAAACCAAAAAAGTCTTTAAAAATTCTTATTTTTCTTTATTGTGCAATACATGGTCAAGTGAAGGCAAATTACAAATACAGAAAAGCAAAAAAAGGATTAAGTCACTGCCCTTCCCCAGACACTTTTATTCTTCAATTTATATGGATTTTTATTTTAACAGAAAAAAAGAAATAATAGTGGGCATGATGTTGGGTAACTTCTTTTGCTTAGTATTAAATCAAAAATCGATTTCAGTGTCTCTAAGTATCCTGCAATGCTACGTAACGACCACATGGCTCTTCATGTTAAATACCTGACGCAGTATTTCCTCTCCTGAACACGTGCACAAGTAGAGAACCTGACTTGGGTTGAGGTCTTCCTGCTCTAAAGTCTTGGCTCATCAACCATGGAGCCAGGATTCATTTCACTTACCCCTACATTCCCATCCAGCCTCCTCTCCTGCCCCACAGGCAACTATGTTAATTGCTTGTGTTCTTAAAAAATGTAAGTATCATTGTTCCGTATACATGTATTTTTAATTTATGAAAATCATGTTAATAAGTCATTTGGGTGTTTGTTTTTTTCCATTAAGGTCTATATGTTGGTTCCCAAACTGGCTCTCATACGTGGAAGACAAGGGGAGACTGAAGAGACAGCAGCCCCAGGGTGGTAGGCGGCAGGTTTATAAGCAGGGGACTCACCAACGAGGCTTCTCTGCGGTGGCCCCGGGACAAGGGGGTCTCCACACCCACCTGCCAGGGTTTTAAAAGTTAACATAGAGGGAGGAGCCAAAATGGTGGAGGAATAGGATGGGGAGACCACTTTCTCCTCTACAAATTCATCGAAAGAACAATTGAACGCAGAGCAAACTTCACAAAACAACTTCTGATCGCTAGCTGAGGACATCAGGAGCCCAGAAAAGCAGCCCATTGTCTTCGAAAGGAGGTAGGACAAAATATAAAAGATAAAAAGAGAGACAAAAGAGCTAGGGACGGAGACCCGTCCTGGGAAGGGAGTCTTAATAGAGGAAGTTTCCAATCACCAGGAAACTCTCGCACTGGCGGGTCTGGGGGAAGTCTTCGAATCTTGGAGGGCAACCTAAATGGGAGGAAAAATAAATAAAACCCACAGATTACGTGCCTAAAGGTTAACATAGAAGCCTTAACAGGATTCAGGCATGTATAACGTGCAGATGATCGTGGCACCTTGCTCTCTCAAGGCCAAGTCCTTGAAAACGACTCCTCCTATGGGAACACCACACGTACTTTATGAGGACAGGGGAGGGGGTGAGGAGACTCCAAATGATGGGTCCAACTTCGGGTCAACTGGTGATCATGTCCTCTTCATGACCTCCTCCCACACCGTGTGCTTAAGATTCAGCTACATTGCTATAGCTGTGTCTAACTCACCACTTCTTGTTACTGGATGATGCCTCATGATGTGCATCTTACATGTTTTAAATGCCCATTTCCCTAGTGATGACCCCTCAAATGGATTTGAACTCACCCATAAAGAAACAATGGTGCACAGAATACCATTGTGGAATTGTGAAATTTTCTTGTCATACACACCCAGCACAGGATTGGTGGGTGATGTATTTAATTTGATGAATTTTTGCCTTGTGGTTCTACAATAGCTACACCAGTCTACACCCCTAAGCAGTGTGTGCAGTTCCTATAAGCTCACTTCCCACCTACACTAGTATCTAGTCTCCTTTTTTTGCCAGACTCTAGATATAAACCTTATCTTATTTTAATCTGTGTTTCTTTATTTCCTGGTAGTATCAGCATGTTTATGCTCTTATCCCACCCAAGAACATAGAGTGTCTTTCCTTACCTTATTTAATCCTTTATCTCTTGTTGGATATTTAGATCCTTTCCAAGAAGAGTAGAAAGAGAAAAAAGAATGCCCCAAGCTATTTAGAAAGCCCATGAACTGACATGAATGGAGAAGGGGGCGATGGATGAATGCTCAGGTGGTTCCCTGTCCTCTGCTTCTCTTTGCAGGATCTAGTATCATGTCTTGAACAGTCAAGTGTTTAGAGAATATTATGTAAAAATGGAGGAAAAGGTAGGCAGCAAGAGGTGAATGTTCAATGTAGTTCACTGTTTAATCTTTCATGAGCAATAATGGCTTTTTAAAACCAAATTTAAAAATGGTAGATTCAGTTCAGTTCAGTTGCTCAGTCTTGTCCAACTCTTTGTGACCCCATGGACAGCAGCATTTTTCACTCTCCTCTTTCACTTTCATCAAGAGACACTTTAGCTCCTCTTCGCTTTCTGCCATAAGAGTGGTGTCATCTGCATATCTAAGGTTATTGATATTTCTCCTGGCAATCTTCTTTCCATCTTGAGCTTCATCCAGCCTGGCATTTTGCATGATGTACTCTGCATATAAGTTAAGTAAGCAGGGTGACAATATACAGCTTTGATGTACCCCTTTCCCAATTTGGAACCAGTCTAGTGTTCTATGTCCAGTTCTAACTGTTGCTTCTTACCTGCATACAGGTTTCTCAGGTGGCAGATAAGGTGATTCGGTATTCCCATCTCTTTAAGAATTTTGCACAGTTTGTTGTGATCCACACAGTCAAAGGCTTTAGCATAATCAATGAAGCAGAGTAGATGTTTCTCTGAAATTCTCTTGCATTTTCTATGATCCAACAGATGTTGGCAATTTGATCTCTGGTTCCTCTGCCTTTTCTAAATCCAACTTGTGAATCTAGAAGTTCTCAGTTCACATACTGTTGAAGTCTGCCTTGGAGTATTTGGAGCATTACTTTGCTAGTGTGTGAAATGAGTGCAATTTTGTGGTAGTTTGAACATTCTTTGGCATTACCTTTCTTTGGGGTTGGAATGAAAACTGACTTTTCCAGTCCCGTGGCCACTGCTGAGTTTTCCAAATTCCAAATTCCTTTTTCAAGACCTACAGTATTCAATAAGTGATTTCCACTTGTCAGTAGCTGGGATGGAGTGGGGATGGATAGGTGGCAGAACAGGGTAGTGAGGAACAGAGGCTTGTGGCCTGGTG